GGCAAGTGCGGGAGACACGGGAAAGGCGCCACGGACTTGCAGACCCAGTCGTTTCGCAAGCACGCGGGCACGGCGAAGCACAAGCTGGCGATGGCGAGACAAACAGCTGTGCAGGAGTGCGGAGCGAGGCAGTCGCAGATCGACCAACATCGCGCCACCATGGACGGAGAGCAGACGCGCGTCGTCGCCCTTCTCGACTCCCTGCTGTTCATCAGCAGGTCCGGATGCACCGATGGGGATGTGGGTGAAGCTCGTGCGTTACCTGGCGGAGAAGGGCGTGCCTGGCTTCTCGAAGAAGGGGTACGGCACCTACTACACCACGTGAGTGCAACTGCCAGAAGTTATTTAATGCACTTTGATGTGTCAATGTTTCATCCCGAGGATAATGTTCTCACTATTGTTTCCATGTGCATGCAGATACGGTTTCGGTGAGCAGACGCAAGCGACTGCGACATGGATCCAGACAACCCAGCTGGAACACGTGCTGGCGTCGCCCTTTGTTGGCATCGCGATTGACGAGAGCACGGATAGGTGCAGCGGGAAACACCCGATCCTCTTCATCACTTTCATCCGTGACAACAAGCTTGTCACGGAGTTCATGGCGCTACTCAGTGTGGAGAAGGCCGACGCAGCTTCCCTTCTCAGTCTTCTGTTGTCACATCTGCAGGCTGTCGGGGTCGACCTTCAGCGGATTGCGGGGATCAGCACCGACGGTGCCAACGTCATGATGGGCAGCAAGTCGGGCCTCACCACACGTCTCCGACTGCGCATCCCCCATCTGGTGTCTTCCCACTGTATCGCGCACAGGTATGTATGTATGTGTTTTCCCCTAACTTGTATTGCGTCTTTTACGATTGTTTACTTTCCCGATGTACTAATGTTGTTTCCATCTTTTGTACAGGGAGGCACTCGCGTCTAAAACAGCGGCCGAGAAGGTTCCGGCGTTCAATGTCATTGACACGGTGATTCGCACCGTGGCAGAGCATCTCGGCCGTTCGGGGCCGTGGCATCAACGGTTCATGGGGCTCCAGGAAGTCTTTACGTCCACCACTCTTGAGCTCCAAGGCATTCATTCCGCCCGATGGCTTTCGCGGGGCGACGCAGTGCTCAGGCTTGTCGCGGTGCTTCCGGCACTCATCGTGATGCTGAATGAGTGGGACGCGAACCTTTATGCTCTGGTTACCAGTTACAAGTTTCATTTCCTTCTCTTCTTCATTGCTGATGTGCTTGACCAGCTCAACATCCTAAACCGGGCGTTCCAGCACAAGGAGGTGAGTTTGGCCATAGTTTTCTGTTAATGTTTTGTTGCAGTCGCCATGTGCTATGTTCCTATATGTTAACCGTCACCATCCACTAACTACCGTTTTATTGTTTTCTGTCCAGCTTGACTATGCCAGCGTGCATGCGCAGATCAAGCGCACAACGTCTCACATCGAGAGCCGCTATGTTGATTGCGGCGACGACTTCGGAGAGCCGCTTGAGCGAGCTACTGTCCCCCTTCATCGCGCGCCATGGGCCAGGAGGAAACCGGGAGGTGAAAGTCGAAGGGATTGACTCGGACGGCCGTCCAGCACGCTTCAAATTCATGCTGCATGAAGACGAGCTGGAGGAGTTCGAAGGGCCCGGGACCCATGATGACTGTGTGGAACTGTGCATGGAGTTCGCGGAGGTGATTGTTCACCAACTCGAGCATCGGCTTGGTGACCTGGATGGGATGTCCGGGGTAAAGCTGTTCCTGCCAGACGAGTACCCGCTGGATCGAGCCGAGAGGAAACGGAGGTGCCTTCAGTGGCTACAGTCGCTGGTCACTTTGTTCAAGGCCGACCTGACGGAAGAGATCGTGCCAGGTAAGCCTTGTGTGTGTAGTCTTTACATCATGCTGCATCGTTGCTCTGTTTGTGTTATGTGAGACGCTTCAACGAATGTATGTATTTGTTTACTCATTCTATTTTTGGGGTTATCCTTTTCCCAACCCCGCCAGGAGTCAACAAGAACCGTGCAGAGAAGGAGCTGCGCATGTTTACCTCGGTGCTTGCAGCCTCTACCAAGGGCGAGCGCAGCTTCCACGTGGGGCTCACAGCCATGCTCAACACACCGGACTGGCGGGACAACTACCCCAACCTTGTGCATTTGTGGGTGGCGGTAGCTGTACTGCCGCTGAGCACCGTGGAGTGCGAGCGGGGGTTCTCTAGGCAGAACATAATAAAGTCGTGGCAGAGAGGCTCGCTGATGGATGCACGGCTGGGCGACCTCATGTGCATGAGCCTCATGGACTGCGAGCCCAAGTGGGAGGAGATCGTGACAATCTGGAGAGCCTACAAGAAGCGCAAGCCCCAGAGCAATGCTCCTCTCCCGCCTGCAGGAAAGCAACAGAACAAGGCCAAGGAGGCAGATGAAGTGATGGAAGCAGAAGACATAGAGGAGGATCATGATGCATCTGATAGTGATGATGATGATGGATTTGATGAGTAGAATAATGTGTAGATTAGTTAGATAGGATCTATATAGCCCTAGTATAGGTGGGTAGGTAGGTAAATCTAACTGTTAATGCATCAGCAGTAGTATGTATGTAGGCCTGGCCTGTCTATCTAATGAAGTTCAACAACATCCTATACAACACACGGCTGAAATCAAAATCAGACTTCTCACAGGTGTTGACTCCGAATGCTTCAGACTTTTTATTTTAGACACTCTGAAGTTTCAGACTTTTTTTCCAACTAACTCTGATCAAATCAGACTAACACAGTGTACTAAGTGTGACAAATCAGACAGGCAAAAAACGAATCTGAGGGCCTGATTACATATGGTATAAGTGCAGCGATTTAATGAGTTTGTAGCAGCTGTTGAGTTGATGCGTTGCTTGCAGGGAATGTTAGCTATTGTAGCGGTTGGCCATGGCGAGAGGCATTCCGTGCATTTGTGGATACGCAAGCGTGCCTGGAAGAAAAGACAAGGACAATGACACCTTGCATTGCGTTGCGTATGAGGAAGCGATACGGTAACGGTTTGAATGAAACTGGATTTCTCTTGGTGAAAATCAGCGCAGTCGAGTGAACTGGTCGGAGGATTTCCCCCATTGCCCCTCTGTTCTGTGCTCTGCATGTTGCTGTAAAGCTGCGAAGCCTGCTAATTTGCTACAACATATGGGATAAACTTTGAGAAACAAATCTGAAGAAACCTACCTTACTAACAAAGGTGTTAGTAGTACGGGCAACATCAACAAAGCACAAAAGCTTGAACCCTTTTGTTTTGTTGCCTTTTTCATAACAAGCATCCCATCCTATCCAAAGTTCAGATTTTGCCCCAAATTCCCCGAAGTACTTGTACTACGGTAAATCCCCATTGCTGGGCTTGCGCTCAAATCACGGGATGTGGCCGCGCGAGCCATATCAATGGTTCTAAGAACATGCTCCTTTTCCCACTCCCCCTTTATAATATGGTTAGCAACCAATGAAGGGTTTTCGAAATCCTTTTGGCTGATCTCATTTCTCAGCTCTTCAAACTTTATGTCGCGGGGAGGGTGTCCAAAAACTAGCTCCAAAAGAAACACACCAAACGCGTGAGTGTCAGACTCCGGGTATATTTTGCCCGTCTCAAGATAGTTTCGGTCAATGTAGCCCCATGTGTCTCCCAAGTCTATGTACTCTTGTGCTTTCCACTCCACAATGAAGCGAGCCAAATTAAAGTCGGCCACGATTGGAGTGCGATCCTGTGAGTGTCAGGCTAAAGTCGGAAAAAAAATATGGGGAAATCGGATTCATATGCCAAAGAAATCCAAATGGGAGGGGCTAAACCATCACATGATGCTGCTGGAATAGTTTTAGCATGTAGCAGGAGCAAGTGCAAGCTAACTGAAAGCCCTTTTACATGTCATACGAAATTAAGTGTTATAATGCAAAGAGAAGAAAAACACACACACATAGTCTAAACTGATCCCGCCGTACCTCTCGCAAAAGCACATTTGTCGACTTGAAATCGCAATGAATGAACCCCTTTTTGTGAATGAAAGCAAGGGCCTCGGCACACCCCACCGCAACCTTCACACGATCCTTCCACGAGAACTGATCTTCGTTCCTGCGGACTGGAGGGGGAAAGTCGAAGGGGAGAGCGGGGGGAGGGGGAACAGTGGAGGCAGGAATCGTATTTAGTTCATGCGGATTGGATGGGGGAAGGCGAGGGGGAGAGTGGGAGTAGGGGCAATGGGAGCACTGCAGGCAGTGGATAAGGGGGCGAGGGTTCGTGGGCTAAGGAGATGGGTTCTAAAGAGGATGGTTGCGAAAATTCGGGACCTCAAACATCTAGAAAACATAGGAGATAAGCAATGCAAACCTTAGTGGGAGTATACGCTCAAAACTGTTTGCGTTTAGCGTATACACGCTACGCTCCCCATTTTTTTTTTGGGCAGCCCGGCCGGAAAATCTCAACCTATACGGTTCGCTTCGGAATTGCACGACGAAGACATTGGTGGGGTCAGCTTGCACGTCCGCGATGTGTGCTAGCGTGGACATGGGTTGAAAGTTCGTGTCGCGAATGGGAAGTCACGTTTCTCGAGTCGCGCCTGCACGTTCCCTCACATTTTGGTGTCACAAGCAATACCGCATTCAAACCCTTTGCATCCAACTACTCTCCAACTTCTCTTGCCCATCTTCCCACTCACACAATCAACTTGCTATTAAACACCCTCACCCCGCACATCCAATTCATTAGTTCTTCTCCCGCTACCAGCAGAGCTCTCAGCATTCCCTGGCGCATGGTGCCTATGTCGACTTCTACTACCTCTCCTCCAACGCCACAGTCAGCTAACACCGTTGGCAGCTCGCAAACTCTTCTAACCGAGGCACTGGAGTATCTCCCCGACGTTTGACCATGCCGTCTTCAAGCACTTCCACATCATCAAGAGGGTCCAGGGAAAAGCTCAGTAGTAAGAGTGCAAGTTCTGCAACAACGTCTTCACTGGTGCTTCCATCCGATGCGCGCAACACTTCACGTCGTGGAAGGGGATGAAGCGCCGTGAAGTGGCGCTTTGCAAGAATGCGCCGCAAGATGTGTGTCTGGCTATGCGCGCGAAGTACGAGGCAGCGGCTGAAGCGGCCGAAGAAAAGAGGCGGGCTGCAGCTGAAGCGGTTGTCGCGGTGAAGGCTAACGGTGGGAAGCGGGCGCGCATTACCGATGACCTGGAGGGGGATGCGGCTGCTAGAAAGGGAGAAGCCGACGAGTCACTTGCGCTTGCATGGGCCGCCCTCCACCTCCCCGATCGCAACATTGACCATCCTCTGATGGTCAATGCATTGAACCTCGTCTCGCGCACCGGCGTCGACTACGTCCCTCCGAAGACGAAATACGTCGGCGGTGCTGGCCTAGTCGCGTGTCGCAACGGAATCGAGCAGGGTTTGGTGGGCATTAAGGCGAGCTGGAAGAGGACGGGCGTGACGATTTCGTCCGACATGATGACGGACCGCAACGGCAGGTCGCAGGTCGATGTGCTTCTCGTGAATGATTCTGGCGCCGTCTTCACCGACTGTGTTGACTGCAACATGGAGAAGAAAGCAGGAGGGTACGTGGCGGGGATTCTTAGGCCCGTGGTGGAGGAAGTGGGTCCAGAGAACGTTGTTGCGTTCTGCATGGACGGGGGTTCGAACTATGCGGTGGCGGTGAATCAACTTATACGGGAGTGGCTGCACATTCAGGATGTGCCGTGCGCCACTCACGTATTGGATCTTCTCATGGCAGATGTGGGGAAGATGGGATGGGCTAAGCCGGCTGTCGACAAGGGAGGGGAGATATCAAGCTTCATCCGCAACCACCATTGGACCCAAGGGTACCTGCGGACGCCGGAATTGGTGGAGGGGACGGTTCTGCAGGCGCTGAAGCCGGCTGGAACCCGATTTGGGACCAATTACATAACCATATCCCGCCTTTATGCGATGCGCGGCAGCTTTACCAGCATGGTGCTGAGCGACATGTGGAAGGAGTGGGCGGCAGGGGAGCGGAAGAAACCATGCGACCATTTTAGTGCGCTGATCCTTGATGCCGCGTGGTGGAAAACGGCCGAAATCTTCACTGCCCTGCTCAAGCTGCCCTACAATGCGATGAGGCAGACAGACGGGCATGCTGCGGGGATGATGGGGGAAAATGTACGATGTGATGCTCCAGTTGACGGAGGACATGGGGGACTTGCTCGACGAAGACGAGGAGCAGTTGACCAGCGGTGACAAGGCCCAAATCCGCTGCATCCTCAAAAACCGTTGGGACGGCAGCCTCGCATGCGCCATGCATGTCGCTGGCCGCATCCTGAATCCCGCCAATCAAGAGGAAGACATTTTTGACACTGATTCCGAGTGCACGAAAGTCTTCTAGACATTCCTCAGCCAGCATGGCGAGTTCATCGCGAGCTGCGGGGATGGGGGGGGATGACGCGTGTGACACTTTGCTTGCTCTGAGGGACGGGCTGAAGGCGTTCCTTGACATGAAGGGTTCTTTTGGAATGCCGAAAGCCGTGGCACAGAGGAAGCTGGTGAAAGAGGGAAAGTACAACATGGTGAAATGGTGGCAGTGGAATGGGACTGATGCCCCCGTGCTGGCGGGGTTCACGGTACGGGTGCTGTCTCAGCCCTTGTCAGCCTCACCTTGTGAGCGTGGATAGTCAACGTGGGATTCCGTCCACACCGCACGCCGAAATAGGCTCGGATCCGCCAAGTGCAAAGACTTGGTCTTTGTTGCGCACAACTAGAATGTTGTGCGCGGCTGGCACACGCGCGCCGATGTCTTGCCACATGTGGTGCCCGGGATTGGAGCGGAGGCGTATATACGAGACGCGTATATACGCTATACGTGTATATTCCCACTAAGATGCAAACAAGAGCTAACGGAAAGAGTTTACATGCCTCGTCATTAGGTCCTTCCTGGTACGACATTTGTATCAGCGAGAGGAGAAACATCAAGCAAGGAAGAACACAAGAGAGCAAACAGGAGAGCGAGGAGGGAGAGTGGGGAGAGAGGGTGGGAGGAGCAGAAAAATTGGTAAGCATAGGGGTTATTCTCACCTTGTAGGGGGAGATTTGTAACGTCTCCTCCAGGGATGAGCTCATACACGACACAAGGACCGACTGAACATTCCTCCCTCCCCCATTACCCCAAACCACCAACTGCAAACCAATAAAACCATGTGAGGGAGGAAGTTTCTCACCTCATTGGAGGAGATTCTTGACGTCGCCTCCCGGGAGGTACTCATACACGAGGACCGGCCTCAGGGGTGTGCGTAGTAGCGCCACCCTTCACAATGTGGGGGAGGGAATTCTTCTCACCTCGTTGGAGGAGAGTGTTGACGTTGCCTCCAGGGATGTACTCATACACGAAAAGCGGCCTCTGCTATTTTTTATTGCCACACCTTCTAGACTCAGAATGTTGGGATGATTCACTGCTGACATGGTTGCCACCTCAGCCTGAAAACATGGAACAGATAAGGGGCAGAGGGAATTGTACAGGTAAGGACATGCCAACATTGTTCGCCCCCCGTACTTTGTACTTATTGGTTCTGCTATATTCAATCTACTCTATATAGCTCTATATCTACAATATAGCAGAACCTATAAGTACATTGTATGGGGAGGAAACAAATTTGTGATGGAAGGAGTGGAATAAAAGAATGACTCGGAGTGAAAAGTTGCTACATGGCTTCTGTTTTATTCATTCGGTAAATATAGTTAGAGATATTCTTGTCCCTTCTTAGGTCACCACAACAATAAACACTCCATACGTGCTACAGCACTCACCTCGAAGGTCTTGAGCTCTTGATAAGTAAATTGCTTTCCTTTCATCACTTTCAGTGCCACCTCAACCTCCCTCATCGCGCCGTCGCCCGCAGGCAGCACCATCCGCCCATGGTACACCTTTCCGAACCCCCCGTCCCCGATGACGCTCTTAAAGCCCCCCGTCGCCTTGTTGAGCTCATTATAGCTGAACTCGCGGGGCGAAGGGGAGCATGCGCTCGCGGGGGAGGCATTGCCTTGGTCTTCGGAAGACTCTTTCGGGGGAGCCGCGGTGGATGGGGCGCGCAATACAATCGGAGCGAGAGGGAGGAACGGAGGAGCGGAACGGGAAAAGCAGCAGAGGAGAAATGAGCTGGTGGACACTTCGAGCTAAAATGTTGCGAGAGGGTGGAATGATTCCAGTTCGGAAAATAATATTTTAGATCTCCGACTGCGGCGTCGCACGATCAAAACGACTGACATCCTTTTGAGGCGCCTCAAAAGTAGTCTCATTTCTGCGTCGCGCGATCAAAACGACTGAAATTCGGCCGGACAGTTGGAGTTTGGAACGCGAATCTCCCTCAAGTCATGTTACTACTCACCTACTATCGCTCACCTTCCGTCACTTTCACAGGCCTCGCTCCGTCGCCGCCGAGGCGAAAGCAGTTGATGTACTTGTCCATGGCTGCCGTGAAGGAAATGCAGGCAGTTTACGATAGTTTACACTCAGAGTGACTCTGATTCGCCTCGGAGACGCCTTTGCAGTATACTATTGATATATGAAGTGAGCGTTGCGAGGTGACTTTTTGAGTCGTCTCAAAAGTAATATCGGATGAGTATTTGATTCGCCTCGGAGGCGCCGTGCAGTATAATACTCTTACTACTTAGAAATAAGATGACTGCAGTGAGCATTGCGAAGTGAACACGAAGCACTGGCAATAAGTCATCGACTTGCCCATGTGTTCTTGGTTGGGCTGGGCTGAGAGAAGGGGAAATTTGGTGATTGGTTGGCATGGGCTGAGAGGGAATCGCATGACTGGTTTTGAAACGTGCTGGAAACGGAGTGGTGGATGCCGCACTGTTACTCGTTCGCCTGGGCTGAGAGCAGGGGAATTGCATGACTGGTTGGCATAGAGGATTAGGGCAGGATCGATCAAGGGACAACTACATGTTAGACTAAGAGGAGGAATGATGTGCATTACGAGAAAGTTTGGGTACAAGTGAAAACCCTAAGGGGTTGTACCCCACATTGGCTACCCCACTACAGCCTACATAAACTAGCATAACATATATAGTTTGACACACCCCTATAGGCAAAGTGGGGGAGAACAAGGGGTCACAAGGCCAGTCAACAAAAGCAATGCAAGCTCAGGGTGGATCACAACGTCACCACACACTCCGAGCACAAGCAAGAGGGCCACAAGGCCAGTTCACATGCAGAGGTAAATATGCAACAACAACAGTACAGTGATCACTACCTAGCAAGGGCAAACATGCAGGTATATATATATAGATCACAGTACAACCAAAGTCTACAGCGAGTGAGGAAACATAGGCACTAGGCCTAGAGCAGTGCAGAAGCGCTGATGATCACCAGCCGGAAGGGCCTTGGTGAACACATCAGCCGTGTTGGCCCGGGTAAGCACGTGAGCGACACGAAGCTGACCACGCTGCTGCAACTCTCGAGCAAGGAAGTAACGCAGAGCGTTGTGCTTCGTTCTGTGCTCCAGTCTGTGGTCCTGACACAAGGCAATGGTAGCCTTGTTGTCGACGTACAGAACTGGAGGAGAACGAGGCCTCTCTCCCAAGTCGGTCAGCAGGTAGGTGAGCCAGCGTAGCTCCTGTGCAGCCATGGCTGTGGCGTAGATCTCACCCTCACAACTGGAGCTGAGAACAGAAGACGAGCGTGTAGACCTCCAAGAAACAGAGCCAGAGCCAAGGCTGAACGTGTACCCCTGTGACGACCGCTGCGTAGCCAAGCCGTCAACCCAAGAAGCGTCTGAGTGCCCAGTGAGGACAACTGGGCTCCGCCCTCCAAGCACGAGCCCCATGCCCGATGTACTGCACAAGTAGCGCAGTACCCTCTTCGCAGCATCGAAGTGCACCTTTCGGTGCCTACCAGGAGCCACGTAGCGTGCCAGAAGGCCAAGAGGGTACGCAAGGTCAGGACGAGTGCAGGTCATCACGTACATGAGGCAGCCCACTAGCTCTGGGTACGGACCACTCGGCTCTACGGACTCGCCAAAGGTGGAGCTGAGAGCGAGTGACCTATAGCCAGGGGAGTGGACTGTGGCGAGGACCAAGTGAAGCCGAAGCGCTGAAGGACCTGCTGCACCATGTGTGACTGAGTCGGTGTGATGGTGCGCCGTGCTTTGTCCCGGGTGATCTGCAGGCCAAGGTAGCTGCGCAGCTCACCCAGGTCTGTGCACGTGTGTCTCTTCTGCAGCTCCGACTTCACAAGGGCGAGAGCCTCAGTGTCAGCAGTGGCAAAGACCAAGTCGTCGACGTACACGAGGATGTAGAACGGCGGCAACGAAGTGTCGGTACGCAGAAACAGCGACGGGTCAGCAGTGGAAGGTGCATGTCGGGGGTGCATCGAGATTTTCCTACTTTAAGCTTGTCTACTGAAGGTTTCGAGGTCGAAGATGCTTCTCGTAATACCACTCTGGTCGACGCTATGATATCAAATGCTAGATCAAGGGAGCTGCAGATGAAGAGAGTGGAAGGCTACTCTGATTTAATGAGCAAGAAAAACAGGAGATCAAAAGTCGAAGCTTCCGACTCTGTGAATCTCCCTTCGCTACAAGAGGCTTTTTTTCATTTGGAAGATATTGACGAAATCTTCAGAAAGTTTCGGCGCCATGAACCAGGGCGAGCTGCTGGAGGTGCTTTTTTCTCTGAAGTTGTTTTGCTCTCTGCTGCTCCCACCACACCAATCACACAATCGGCTTGAATGGCTGCAATGAGGAGAGGAAGCACTCATTCCCAAGGCCCTGCCAGGCAGCAACATCAAAGCAGGGCAATTTCTGCTGTAACCCAACTCAACCAAACTCGGCAATGTAGGGTCGGAGCCAACTGAGCAGGGCTGATGTGTCAAATCAGTCACCGAGGCCCCGTTCGGCAGCAACAAACCAGAGCTGTTTTTGTTTCAAACAAACCCCACCAGACAAGGCAGGTTCGGAGGCAATTGTTCAAGGTTGAAGCGACACACTCAGCAGCTGGTTACAAAGGTGTTTATGGAGGTGCTCAAGTGTGCCAACAAGCAAAAAAGTGTCAACAATTTTCTACCTGATCTCAAGTGTGGCAACTCTGCAAAGAATGCCCCAAACGGGCAAGACAAAGTGTTTAGGCACTTGACTTTTACGACTCCATAGGAATCTGGGAGGGTACGGTAGACACTTACGCTACCTATGCCCTCTAGCTCCGGTTACGACCGACGGTGTTTTGCGTTGTACGTTGTATATTGCTATTTCACCTACCAAAAAAAAAAAAAAAAAAAAACAGTGGAAGGTGCAAACCCAAGAGCCGCAGGTGTCGTCCTCATTGTGTCGTGCCACTCACGAGGCGCCTGACGGAGACCGTAGACTGGCCGGCGGAGGCTCCACTGGGTACAAGGAGGGAACGACCCAGTGAAGCCAGGTGGGCGGCGCAGCCAGATCTCCTCGTGCAGACTGCCCTGTAAGAACGCCGTGCTGAAGTCCAGAGAGTGAAGCTCGTAGTCACGCTGAGCGGCAACGTGCAGCAGCACCCGAAGAGTGGTCATCTTTGGGGAAGGGGAGAAGGTCTGGAAAAAGTCAACTCCCTCTCGCTGACTGAAGCCTCGTGCAACGTAACGCGCCTTGAAGACAGGCAGAGAACCCGGCGGCCGCTTCACCCTGAAAATCCACATGTCATCGACTACGTTCGCCCCAGGAAGGGGAACTGCGTCGACGTAAGTGCCTGTGGACTTCCAGGATGCCATCTCTGCGTCCATGGCTGTCTGCCACTGAGAGGAGTACTCACCCGCGATCGCCTCAGCGTAAGAGCGCGGGGTCGGGATGTCTGGAGCATCCGGGTCTCCCTCAGGGGCAAGCAGCATGGCCACGAGATGAGGCCCAGCGGCTGCAAGACATGCAAAGTCCTCCTGCCTGTCCTCATGGACGTCCGTGCCAAGAGCACACTCACCCCCGACGGACGGAGGACAGACAGACTCAGACTCAGCAACAAGACTAGCAGCGAAGTCGAGACGACAGGTAGCAGCAAAGTCAACAAGCTCAGAGACTAAGGCAGACGCAGCAGCAGACCCAAACGACGGGTCAGTGACAACAGTGGCTAGCAGACGCGTGACAGTAGGGTGAGCAGCACGAACCAGGTCAGACTCAGGGTCCTGAACGTCAGGCAGACAAGACGCAGGAAGAGACGGTAGGGGAACACGCTGTGGAACAGAGGAAGGACGAAGTGCCATAGCGTGCGTGCCAGGGACAGGAGGCAGACGCTCACGAGGAACACGGCTACCAGTGCAACGCGCGCGAACAGGCGAGGCAGGACGAGACGCAGGCTCACGACGCTCTGTAAGCGAGTCTGTTTGCTCAGTGTAAGGAGAAAGAGCAGGCAGTGGTGCGACGGGCTGTAACGGGAGGCCAGTAGAGGACGGGAGGCTAAGAACCTGGCGAAGCACGGAGTCAGGCGGTGGCAGAGACGACGGTGACGGCGGAGCGAAAAACAGTCGCGGCGGTGCAGTGCCACCAGTACCAGTAGCTCCAGCGCCTCCAGCAGCAGCACCTCCAGCTCCAGCACCACCAGTAGCAGCACCTCCAGAATCGGCACCTCCAGCCCCAGGGTCCCCAAATCCAGGGTCGACAGTATCAGCTCCAGGGCCTCTAGCAGCACCACCCCCAGAACCGGCACCTCCAACTCCAGGGTCTCCAACGCCAGGGTCGACAGCACCAGCTCCAGGGCCTCCAGCCCCATTACCTCCAGCAGCAGCACCTCCAGAGCCGACACCTCCAGCTCCATGAGTAGTACCAGTCCCGGCAGCTCCAGTACCTCCAGTACGAGCACCTCCATGACCAGAGACACCAGCACTCCCAGCGCCTCCACGACAAGCAGCTCCAGCAGCACGACTCCTCAGGCGGGTACGCGACGCAAGCCACTCTCGTGCCTGCTGTGGTGAGACAGGCTCGCGTCGTGAAACGAGACCCAGAGGAACGCCAGCAGACTCAGCACCCCCAGGCTCCGCACCTCCCAGCACCTCACGGACAGGCTCAGCACCCCCAGGCTCCGCAGCCGCAGGCTCAGCACCCCCATGCTCCACACTCCCCAGCACCTCACGCGCAGGCTCAGCACCCCCAGACGCAGCACCCCCAGCAGCACCTCCCGCAGCAGCACCTGAGTCGCTAGTGACCTCTACAGGCTCAGCCAAGGGGGGCGGGTCTACCTGAGACACACCTGAAGGAGCAGGACCCCGAGGGGGGAGGGGGTCTACCGGAGGGGGACCTGGAGCGAGGAAAAGCGGCGGGGGAGGGAGAGGGGCAGTGCGGTAGGGGAAGAGACGGTAGAAAGGAACAGACTCGTCAAAGGTGACGTCCTGAAAGGGGAATAACGCAATTGATAGGGTAACATGATTTCGAGATGGCTTGCGAATGTACAGTAACGGGTGCCCAACGAACACTAACAACAGCTAAAAAATCACGCGGATGGTCACACATATAACTCCCGCAAAAAAATCTTGAAACTTTACAAAATCCTCGTTGAAACTTTACAAACTTTTTGGGCGAGAGTTTCATCTGTTACCATTCGCGTTATTTTTTCCCAGTTGATTGTGGCTGATTGCGTAAAACATTTTATCAAACACGTGAAAACAGCCTTTTTTGTGACCGTACCCGTAAGTTTTTTACCAAATATATTATCGATACCCTCGTTGATTACTAGTGGCTTATTTCCCCTTTATTTCATGCATGAGAGACCTTGATAGTATAGTACAAAAAGTATGTACGTATAAATTTATTGTAAGTAGTATACTTTACGCGCTTGTAAAGGACCAGTAGTTGGCTCCATGAACCTTTCTGGCACACGCAAGCTTCGAGCAACCTTCCGTGTTTCCACGTCGTCCTTTCCCAAACCCGCGTGGCTGGCGCGTTGATGGTCGTCCATGGTTGGAGCATGTGGTAAGGGGACGTGTCAAAACAGTCCGTGGTCACTGTGTCTCCCAAATCTATGGGTGACACGTAGAATTGACTTTTCAAGAACACGACTGAGCTATCACTTGCGGCTCCACTTCCCCTGTTCCAACGTGTTTCTCGTCAGCATGACATGGCTCAGGCCTGAAGGACCAATCGATTCGCTGAAATAATGAAGCTTGTGGGCCCAAGCTCAATCCGTCCGTCCATTCAGCTTTGCAATTCGCACCCAACCTCGCCCAACCACCGTCGCCCTCCACTCCATTCACTGTCAGTGACTCACGCTGCTGTCGTCAGCAACGAGGAATCTCACACATTTGCGGCTGGCATTCACATCACTGACCCGCACCACCGCACCGCTTGCATTGCATGCAGCTGCTCCTCCCTCCTTCCTCTCCAACACTCGCCTGTCACCCTTATGTCAGCGCTACCATACGTAACCTGACTGTGTCGTATTCTACCGTATTTTATAGTACTTCACCGCCTCAGAACGCTCTACGTCATCAGAGATGCTCATACTCATCACATCACGATTCCCCAGTTGCGATTCACTAACACATGGCACTCCACCACTACCTCCCATTTCCTTGCCTCCCATCTTCTCAACCCGACAAACTTTGACATACAGTAGAACCATATCGTACGTAGTGTCCTCCCTTCGGCTTCGTGTCGCGTGTCCCAAGCAAGCCAAATGCGGCGCCTTCTCTTCCCTCTCGTCGGTACACTTTGCCATTTTTGCACCCGTTTTTCTAGTGCCCCCAGTCATTGCGTCGTATCCTATCCTCCGGTCGGCATTGCTGCTCGCTAGCTAGCCATCTGCTCCCTTTCCCTCCGCTTCCCCAACACTACGTATCTAGGAGCTTATTCCGGTGAACCACAGCTATTTCTTTCCTCGCGGAGCTGAAGGGAGAGGTATGCACAGCAGCTTGTTTCTCAGCCAACAGGGCATCGCACACCCTGCGGCTGAATCTCAGAAATCACCCAACGAAGCTCCTCGAGCGCGAAACTGTTTCGAGATTGCTCCAGAGCGCGAGGAGTTTGAATGCGACGCTTCGCATCGTGAGCCTGCTTCTTTTTCCTGTGCTCCGCATTCAGAGCACGGTTCCGGGCCTCGCAGGCGCGTCGCGCACGTTACCTCCCGTTCCCGGTTAACTAGCGAGACCAGGAAAGATAGCGCGGATGCGGGTGATTGCGTTTCGTCAAAGTACGTTATCGAGGAGGATAATAGGGAGGATGGAAACGACAACAATGAGTTCGACGACGACGCAGCATCCGAGAACCTTCCGATATCGCTCGTCATAGCGGCATTATTCCTAGACACTAAAGGCCAGTCGAGAGCGCTGATTAAGAAGCTTTGTTCATTTGACTCCGACTTTATCCACAGAAAGCTCGTAACTCTGCCCGGCGTCACTTATACCTCGTCCTTCGTTAAACAAGGAATCTCCTGGCTACAGACACACCTCTACGTACCTGTAATGAGTCACGTGGATGCTTATAGAGGGCAATCTTTTAGCGCGGATGCTCTCGCCAAGGGCGATTGCTGCAGACAGGCGCTGTGCGGGTCCTGCTGCGTGTCGATACCGAAGGACTCACATGGGCACGAAAATGACAACCACTATAAACCGAGCCGCGCTCGATCCAGCAAGCAGGTACTTCTTGCTCATCCACATGACCTCAAGCAGGTACAAGTCTTATTTGTAGCTCCATACGTCGCACACCCTTTTCTTGCTGGCATCCGTTCCACGCCCCTTCCCTGCCCTCCTCCCCTTCCGCTCTCTTCCCTACTTCCCACACCGTCCTACTTTCGAGCTCTCAAGTGCATTTTTTGGGTGCTTTTTTTCAGGTGCTTTTTTTTTGTCTCACGCCCTTCCACGGCCGTACTACCACTTTCGAACTCGCAGGTGCTAGCGCTCGTCGGCTTCGGAGCCGTCGCGATCCTCGTGCTGCTCGTGCGCGGCGGGTTGCCGGCTCGATCACCTCTCCACCGCGGCATATTCCCTTTTCCGAAGCTCCCCGCGGGTGCTACGGCTTCCGTCTACCAATCAACGACTGCCGCGTGGCTGGACCTGACCGCTCTGTTCTTCCTGTTCTTCGGCACCGCCGCTTTGACGCGATTCGCCATCATCCACCTGATTCGGCGGCATCCGCATTTGAGCCTTCCCCTCGCGGCGCTTCTTTCCGCCGATCGGGGGGGCGGTGGTCGGGGTTCCGCGGAAAGGAGCGGGTGCGCATGGGGGGGATCCGCGTTCATGCGCGACCTCTGCGGAAAAGCCGGCAAGATGGGGCTGGGCGGAGGGTTTTGGCGCGCGGCGTGGTGGCAGGCGCAGATTTCGCCTTCTCCGCGCGGGAGGCGCAGCTCCGCGCATCTGGCGGAGCGATCTTCCGCCGGCTCCGCGGATTTTCTGCGCTATTTGCGGCCGAGCGGCACCTGCAAAAGCCTATCAGAGTCCGAAGATGCTGTAGACGACGCGTTATGTCTCACCGTGAGGCGGTACACTAACGGGGATAGATACGAAGGCGAGACGCGTGACGGAGTAGCGTCTGGAAGCGGCGTGTATTATTTCGACGAAGCTGCGGGGAAATACGAAGGCGAGTGGGCGGACGGAAAATACAGCGGGCTGGGTGTAGAATCGTGGGAGAGCGGCAGCGTGTACCGAGGCGAGTACAAACGCGGATACCGCGAGGGGCGGGGGCTGTACCAGTTCCACACTGGGGACGCGTATGCGGGCGCGTGGGCGCGCGGGCAGAGCCACGGCGCGGGGTTGCAGATGTGCGCGGATGGGAGCACGTACGCGGGGCAGTTCTCGTACGGGCTGAAGCACGGCTTCGGGATCTACACCTTCAGGTACCGTTTTTCTGCAGCTTTCAGTATGTTTATACCTCCTTGCACCGCGTGAGGTACCCTGGGCGGAAACTCGGGGACCAGTTTTACAGCTTTGCACCTTGAATTAGTATTGCTAATGGAGGATGAAACTAAGGGTAACTGCCAGGGGTTGGGGGGTGGCTGACGAATGTGGCTGATGCTCGTGGCAGAGGGTTTCTGACGAAACTTTCACCTTTGCCTCGTGGCTCGGTATTTCTGACACCAATCTCCCTCATTCACCTGTACTTCCCATTTTACCATAGACGGCGACACGTACGCAGGGGATCAGCAGCGCCATCAGCAACGTTCTTCTGACACTGCCTTCCCTCCTCTTATTCACCCTCCCCTCCCCTGATTCCCGTGCCCTTTCTATTCACCAGGAACGGAGATACCTACATGGGGGAGTATTTCCGCGACGCCATGCACGGGTACGGCGTGTACACGTTCAGTAACAGGCTTCTGATCTACCCTCGCTCCCCGTATTCCTGTATGTTCCCTTACCAGAAACGGCGACGTGTACGCGGGGGAGTATTTCCGAGATGCCATGCACGGGTACGGCGTGTATACCTTCAGCAACGGGCAGTGCTACGAGGGCGCATGGCACGACGGGTGCAAGCAGGGGCTGGGCCGATACTCCTTCCGCAGCGGGGACTCCCTCATGGGCCACTGGCACCTGGGAGCGCTGCTCACACGCTGCTGTGACACCCCTCCTGCCGCTGTCTCTGCCACTTCTGCTGCTGCTGCCACCCCTGCCGCTGCCAGCTCGGCTCCATCTGCGGCCTCTGCCTTTGACGCGGTGTCTGACTCAGTTTCAGACTGTGGCAGCTGGGGTGCGTCCTCCAGCCCATCGTCGCCCTCAGCCTTTTCAGCAGCATCGTCACCATCAGCTGCAGCACCATCAGCAGTGTCACCATCAGCGCTCATAGCGAGCCAGTCTCCAGTCAATGGGCGCCCATTAGTGGACCCTGCTAAAGTGCTAGCAGCCGTAGAGGTGAGTGTGGCTTCTTGTAAACCTGAACGCTTTCTTTCCTCCAGGTTCTCGTTTTTCCCTGAAGGCTTGTTTTGTTCTTCCTTGTACATTGTTTCATGGCCATCTACTCACCGTTCGCCTCTCACCGTGTCTTCTGGCTCCTGGCTTAACTTGCAGGCTGCAAGGAGGGCCAAGAAGAGGGCAGAAGCACTGTCGGCTTCGGATGAGAGTTTATCTGACGTGGTGGCTGCAGCCAATCAGGCGGCTGCTAGTGCCAGGGAAGTAGCGGCTGAAGCAAGGGCCTTAGGGCCCCAACCTGAGACCAGGAATGACCTGCAAAGCAGGTCGAAGTTCATTCTGTAATTCATGCGTTGTAATTCATGTTCCCTACTAATTGTATATAATTTGGTTTAGAAACGAGGGCAAAAGCTTTTGGCTGGAGTTGTGTGCATATCAATCGGTAACTGGAGAACAAACAGTCACATTTCAAGTGTTAGCAACTCTAAATATAAATGAAGAATTAACTTCTGTTATATATATAGCGTCAATGCAGCTCGTCGCCACTGTACCATTGCCATTATCTCGTTTATGTCTTCCCACAAATTCAACCCGTTTGCTTGAAGCCACGAGTTTCATCCAACCTCTGGCGACAAACCTGGCTTCCAGCAGACTGATGTGTTTCCGGAGGGTCGAACTCCCTCTCACAGACATCTATCGCCCGTGACCATGGCGCATTGACTGGCTGGCTCGTTGATTAGAGCGAATTCACTTTCGCCTGTCGCATCGCCTCGCCTCTGTTGCGCGCTGACCTGCGCAATTCCCGAGGCGTCTCAAGAGTCCGTTGCGTTCCGACTCTTTATTTGCCGTTTCTCGAGCTCGGAATTCCTTCGCGTTTTGCCGTGACGGACGCTGTTTCCGTCGAATTTTGACGGACCTTGATCGCGGTGCCTCTATTCCAGTTCCTGTCGTCAAATTCAGAGTGTTCTGTTTCAATCACTGGCCATGAAGCTCGCTGACGGCATGGCAGCGCTGGTCACGGGAGCTGGCTCGGGAATTGGTACGCACGCAGATTACTGTTTGCAAATGCAGCTCGTTTGAGTCGACTGAAAATATGACTCCGTGCAAATTCGTCAGTGATACCAGAGGTATATGATACGAAGCAGTCAGTCCGAGCATTCAGTACACCAAGGTAGTCTGCACGACATGGTTCACTCGCAATTCAAGTTGAACCCCGTTCCGTCTTCTCTCTCCTTCTCTTCGCCTCTCTCTCTTCTCTTCTCTCTCTTGGCTTAGACAGACGTGTTCAGCTTATCATGCGATGCATTGGATGGCCAGGCATCATGAACCTTGCAAACATGATTTTAGAGTCGACTAAAAAGTGAAGGCCAGGCACCATGAACCTTGCAGAGCTGAATGAATCCTTCACATTCGTTACTCGTGTTGCGGAAATTCTGATTCTATGCTCTCTGATTTTTCTATGGTTTTCTTCATCATTTGCTTCTCAGGCCGAGCGGCTTCTCTGTATCTGGCGGCTAAGGGCTTGAAGGTGACCGTTGTAGATTTCTCAGAAGCAGGCGGATTGGAAACGGTGCGGCTGATTCGAGAGCAGACGGGGAGGCAAGATGCTGCGAGATTCGTCCAGTGTGACGTCAGCAAGCCTTGTAAGAAACGTCTGTCGGAAGAATGGGCTCTTATCTACACCTTTTGCATGTAACGAAGTCCGTTTATAAGGTGTAAGTGACCAAAATGTGTTCTTTCTGTTTCCTCCTTGGTTCCTCCTTGCTGACCTCTCTCTCCGGTTGACCTGGCCCGTGCATTCACCTCACACATCCTATGATGTGACCATGTTTACGTCTGTCTCAATCTCAACAACAGGAGCATAGGGGAGGGAGATTGGTTTCTTTTGCTCCTTCCTCACTCCTTCCTTCAATCCACCCTCCCATTTCATCGTTAATCCTCCCGTTGCTATCCTCCCGCTCTCTATTCCTCCTGTCCACCATCCCCCCACCCCCTCTCCAGCTGACCTGGCCTGTGCATTCGCCGTGCACATGCAATGGTGTGGCCGTCTCGACGTCTGCCTGAACAATGCGGGCATCAGCGAGAGGGACTGGCTCTACTCATCCCTCTCGTTGACCATTTCTTATTATACCTCCAATGCATATCATTCTCCCACCCACTCCCCAGCTGACCTGGCCCGTGCATTCGCTGCGCACATGCAATGGTGTGGCCGTCTCAATGTCTGCCTCAACAACTTGGCTGTTGTTTATACCTCCAATTCATATCCATCCCACCCAACTCCCCAGCTGACCTGGCCCGTGCATTCGCCTCGCACATGCAATGGTATGGCCGTCTCGACGTCTGCCTGAACAACGCGGGCATAGGCGAGAAGGAATGGTTCCTCAAGGACACGTCAGCAGACGGCAAGGGATCCTGGCGCCACGTGCTGGACGTCGATCTGACGGCTGTTGTTGATGGGACGCGCCTTGCTGTACGTGCTGTCTCTCTCCTCCGTCTCCCCTTCACCTCTTGCAACTGTGCACGCCCTCTCACTGTCGAAAGGGCTCCTGGCGCCTCGTGCTGGACGTCGATCTGACGGCTGTTGTTGATGGGACACGCCTTGCTGTAGGTTCCCTCTCACTCTCCATCTGAAAGTGTTTCGAGACATAACAGAACCACGTGAAAGAATACCAGTGTTGGGATGTTCACGTCTGACTGAACAATGCGGGCACTCATTGCTCTGAGTGTTGGAGGTTAACCTCAGTCCAGCACTGCGCAAATGTGCCAACTCACAGCTGTAAACTCATTTTGTGTTGTGAACTCTCTCTCCGCTTGCCGCTCAAGTCGCCTCTCCTTATTGCCTACATCGTTAGCATATTAGCGGCACACGTTTGATTTGAACACTTTCCGGAGGTTGCTTTTGATGCCAACAAGACTTCTGACGACGCCGATACGCAGTCTTCTCACTCCTTTCGCCCTCATCCTTCACGCCTGCTGCTCCACTCCTTGCACCCTGCCTCCTCTTGCTCCCTGCCTGCCCTTTGACCCCAGGTGCACGCAATGCAGCTGTCTGGGAAAGGCAGCAAGGGTGGCACGAGAGGCGTGGTAGTGAACGTGGCATCAGCAGCAGGGCTGTACCCCTCGCCCAACGGCCCCATTTATGCCGCATCCAAAGGTGACATGTGCTTGCTTGCTTGCTCCCTCTTGCTTGCTTGCTCCCCCTCGCTTGCTTGTTAGCTCTTTTGCTGCTTCCTCCCTCTTTTGCTCCTCCTTCCTCATCCATGTCATGGCATCGCAGCAGGGCTGTATTCATCACCTTGTCACTGCGATTTGCACCCTCCTCGTTCTTCTGATAGTCCGAGCCTCACAGTGATGTATCCTCCTGCATGTTTTCAGTCTGTGATGTGACTTTGTGACTGTGCATGATGTGACTGCATGGGATGTGATTATGCATGATGTGACTGCATGCATGTGACTGTGTTGGTCGCAGCTGGAGTGGTCATGTTCACACGTTCATTGGCTCATCTCGCTGCCAGTGGCATTCGCATCAATGCTCTCTGCCCTGAGGTGACTTCCATAAGCTCCACACCCACATGCATCACATGCATCACATGCCCCACATGCATCACATGCCCCACATGCATCACATGCCCCACATGCCCCACATGCCCCATATGCCCCACATGCCCCACACATGCATCACATACCCACATGCATCGCATACCCCACATGCCCCACATACCCCATATGCAACGCATGCCACACATGTTCGCATGCAACACACACTCAATGTATATTCTTTCTCTCGTGTCCCTTACCTTGTCCTCTCCCCCTTGCCTCCTCCCTTATCCCCTGCTTTGCCTCCCGGTTCATTGAAACCCTTCTGGTGACGCCGTCCCCCGTGACTCCTCCCTTTTCTCCTCCCTTGTCCTGCGCTGCTCGCAGTTCATTCAAACCCCGCTGGTGAACCAGATCACAGGGCAGGCGGCCAAGCATCTCCCCAAGGTGGTCGCTTCGCTAGGGGGTTTCATTCCCATGGAGACCATAATGGATGGTGGGTGGGTGGGTGGAGGGTCAGTGAGTGGGTGGGTGAGTGGGTGGGTGAGTGGGTTTTGGGATTGTGCATTTGGTCGTGCCATCTGCGTTTTAATTTGCTCCAAGTTGATTCTTTCTGCGGTGGCTGATACATGGGAAGGGCACACACCTTTCACCTGCTAACCACAACTCCGTTTTGTCCCTCCTTTCCTAGATACCTCCCTCCCTCCCTCCCTCCCTTCCCACCTCCGCAATCTACATGGAGATTATCAACCTCAACACAGGCATAGCTGAGTTGATGGAGGACGAGCAAGGGGGCCCACGTTCATGTAGATTAGCAATTAGATTACCAACCGGCTGGGCAAGCAGTGGTGGCTGACTGACGATCAAACACACGTTCCACCTTCTCACTGTGCATCACTTACTAAAGCATGTGTTCCCCTCAACCCTCCCGTTTTCCTGCAGGCATAGCTGAGGTGTTAGAGGACGAGAAGAGTATGGGCTCGTGCATGTGGATCAGCAACCCGTCCCATCTCCCCTCTCCCCCCCTCTCACCCACAGGCAGGCCTGACCGAGTTGATAGAGGACGAGAAGAGGAGGTGTGAGTGCATGCGGATCAGCAACCCGTCCCATCTCCCCTCTCCCCCCCTCTCACCCACAGGCCTGACCGAGTTGATAGAGGACGAGAAGAGGGCAGGCGAGTGCATGTGGATCACCAACCGGCTGGGCAAGCAGTGGTGGCCGACTGTCGATGAACCACCTTCGCACCACCATGTGTCACCATCACTGGCGCCCCTCCCTGCCCTTTGTTGTCTCACAGGCCTAGCTGAGTTGATAGAGGATGAGAGGAGGGCGGGCGAGTGCATGTGGATCACCAACCGGCTGGGCAAGCAGTGGTGGCCGACTGAGGAGGAAGAGACGCTCTACCTGGTGGCGGGCACACCTGGGGGAGTTGGCAGAAATGGGAAATGATAGTAACAGGGTATCCGGCTAAGGCTCTTTCCTCCTCCCTTGCTTCCTTTCAGGTCTGGCCGAGTTGATAGAAGATGAAAACAGAGCGGGCGAGTGCATGTGGATCACCAACCGGCTGGGCAAGCAGTGGTGGCCGACCGAGGAGGAGAAGAGGCGCTACCTGGTGGCGGGCACACCTGGGGGAGGTGATAGTAAAGGGGGTGACAACAAAGGAAGTGCCAGCAAAAGTGATGCAAGTGGGGGTGGAGGGGCATTGGCGTTGGGTGCCATGCCACGTGCGAGGAGAGGTGCTGGTTTGGGGACAGCTGGGGGTGAAGCTTCTGGGAAGCAGCGTGTGGGTGTGGCGAGTGGGCTGCCTTCGACTTTCCAGAAGCTGTGAGTTGTGAGGTGATGGGTGGTGATGGGTGGTGATGGTTGGTGATGGGTGGTGATGGGTGGTGACGGGTGGTGATGGGTGGTGACGGGTGGTGATGGGTGGTGATGGGTGGTGATGGGTGGTGACGGGTGGTGATGGGTGGTGACGGGTGGTGACGGGTGGTGATGGGTGGTGATGGGTGGTGATGGGTGGTGATGGGTGGTGATGGGTGGTGATGGGTGGTGATGGGTGGTGACGGGTGGTGACGGGTGGTGACAGGTGGTGATGGGTGGTGATGGGTGGTGATGGGTGGTGATGAGTGGTGATGGGTGGTGACGGGTGGTGACGGGTGGTGATGGGTGGTGATGGGTGGTGATGGGTGGTGATGGGTGGTGATGGGTGGTGATGGGTGGTGATGGGTGGTGACGGGTGGTGACGGGTGGTGATGGGTGGTGATGGGTGGTGATGGGTGGTGATGGGTGGTGATGGGTGGTGATGGGTGGTGATGGGTGGTGATGGGTGGTGATGGGTGGTGATGGGTGGTGATGGGTGGTGACGGGTGGTGATGGGTGGTGATGAGTGGTGATGGGTGGTGATGGGTAGTGACGGGTGGTGACGGGTGGTGATGGGTGGTGATGGTTGGTGATGGGTGGTGATGGGTGGTGATGGGTGATGACGGGTGGTGATGGGTGGTGGCAGGTGGTGATGGGTGGTGATGGGTGGTGATGGGTGGTTGTGGGCGGTGGTTGGTGGGTGGTGATGTTTGCTGGTCAACTGAGTCAAACAGGTCAACCAGGCTCAACCAATCCTCTTAATCCATACTCTCGCCCCTCCCTCTCCTCCCCCCACCCCAGTGTGGTGCAGCGCCTCTCCTCGGACTTCAGACAGGCCACCAGCATCATCGAGGCACCATTGCTGGTCGATCAGGAAAACAGGTCAACCAGGAGATACCATTTCTCTTCTCCCACACTCTCGTCCCTACCTCCCCTCCTCCCCCCAGTGTGGTGCAGCGCCTCTCATCAGACTTCAGGCAAGCCACGAGCATCATCGAGGCACCACTCTACTGCCACTGCCCGAGCCGGTCAACTGAGTCAACGAAGTCAACTATATCACGTTCAATCTCCCTCGCTATCTCTCCCCCCACCCCAGTGTGGTGCAGCGCCTCTCCTCGGACTTCAGACAAGCGACCAGCATTATCGAGGCGCCACTGCCGCTGCCTGTGCCGGCAGGGAAGGTGCTGCTGCGAGTGCGATACGCAGGGGTCAACGCCAGCGATGTGAGTTAGGTTCCTGCCGCTGCCACTGCCGCTGCCACTGCCGCTGCTCTGCCGGCAGGGAAGGTGCTGCTGCGAATGGGATACGCAGGGGTCAACGAGTGATGTGAGTGGCTCTACACTGTTGCTGCTGCTGAAGGTGCTAAGAAGGTGCTCGGAAGGTTTTGGCGAGGTGTTGCTTCCGTTGATTTCCTTCATTTTATCCCGCAGACCTTCGCTCATGTCATCGCTCCCTCCTTTCCCCATCACCGTTACCAATCTTCAGGTCAACTACTCAGCCGGTCGCTATGCGGGCAGCCCAGCGGAAGCATCCCAGCAGCTTCCGTTCGACGCAGGCTTCGAGGCAGTGGGGGAAATAGTCGCACTACCAGGCAGCAGCACAGCATCCAGCAGGGAGGGGAGGGGGGGCCTGGCAGGGGGGCTGGCAGTGGGGCAGGCAGCAGCAGCGTTGGCGTATGGCGCATTTGCAGAGTACATGCTGGTGGATTCCCGATGGGTCATTCCTGTGCCTGACTGTTCCCCGCAAATGGTGGCGTTGCTGACCAGCGGCCTCACTGCCTCCATCGCTCTATCTGAGGTACACTTGGGGTGGGGGCACGGATGAATTTTCAGGTACATTTGTTGACTATGTGCACTGTGTGAATGCCGGTCATTCCCGTGCCCGACTGCTCGCCTCAAATGGTGGCGTTGCTGACCAGCGGTCTCACTGCCTCCATCGCTCTATCCGAGGTACGCTGGGGAAGGGATTCACTGTGATGTGCATTTGCTGAATTCATGCTTGTGGATACTGAATGGGTGATCCCTGTACCTGACTGTTCCCCGCAAATGGTGGCGCTGCTGACCAGCGGTCTCACTGCCTCCATCGCTCTATCCGAGGTATGCACCTCGTTTCCCCACTGGGGCAGGCATTGACTGCCATGGTCCTGCATATGCGTATGGTGCATTCGCTGAGTACATGCTGGTGTCTTTTGAGGCGCCTCAAAAGTGAGTACATGCTGGTGGATGCACGATGGGTCATTCCCGTGCCCAACTGCAATGGTAGTTTGGATGTGCACGCACACCCACGTGCATGTAATGGTAGTTTGGGTGTGCACGCACACCCACGTGCATGTAATGGTAGTTTGGGTGTGCACGCACACCCACGTGCATGTAATGGTAGTTTGGGTGTGCACGCACACCCACGTGCATGTAGTTTGGGTCAGGCATGCTCGTGGATGCTCGATAGTCATTCTCGTGTCTGACTGCTCGCCTCATATGGTGGCTCTGCAAATTAATTAGTGGCGTCACTGCTTCCTCCGCTTTATTTGGAGCAGTGCCGTGTAACTAACAGCACTGTCACTGCTTCCTCCGCTTTATTTGGAGCAGTGCCGTGTAACTAACAGCACTGTCACTGCTTCCTCCGCTTTATTTGGAGCAGTGCCGTGTAACTAACAGCACTGTCACTGCTTCCTCCGCTTTATTTGGAGCAGTGCCGTGTAACTAACAGCACTGTCACTGCTTCCTCCACTTTATTTGGAGCAGTGCCGTGTAACTAACAGCACTGTCACTGCTTCCTCCACTTTATTTGGAGCAGTGCCGTGTAACTAACAGCACTGTCACTGCTTCCTCCGCTTTATTTGGAGCAGTGCCGTGTAACTAACAGCACTGTCACTGCTTCCTCCGCTTTATTTGGAGCAGTGCCGTGTAACTAACAGCACTGTCACTGCTTCCTCCGCTTTATTTGGAGCAGTGCCGTGTAACTAACAGCACTGTCACTGCTTCCCCTGTGCATAGTGCTGTGGAGGAATACTCAGCACAGCAGTTGCTGGTGTGGAGGAATACTCAGCACAGCAGTTGCTGGTGTGGAGGAATACTCAGCACAGCAGTTGCTGGTGTGGAGGAATACTCAGCACAGCAGTTGCTGGTGTGGAGGAATACTCAGCACAGCAGTTGCTGGTGTGGAGGAATACTCAGCACAGCAGTTGCTGGTGTGGAGGAATACTCAGCACAGCAGTTGCTGGTGTGGAGGAATACTCAGCACAGCAGTTGCTGGTGTGGAGGAATACTCAGCACAGCAGTTGCTGGTGTGGAGGAATACTCAGCACAGCAGTTGCTGGTGCTCTGCCTACTTGGGATGGCCAAAGGGGAAACTGCGCTGCTGGCATCAGCACAGTTTCTCCCTTTCGCTGATGACGTGACCAGCAACAGCAGTGATGCCTTTGCCACGTCTCTCTATTTCCTTCCACAACTTTCGTCACAGTCTGGCTGCAAGGGCAGTGGCGAGACAGTGGTGTGACAGCAACAGTCAGAGTTGATGTCTCTGCCTCGCTTCTGTTCCCGTTCCCCCTCTCTTCCGATTTCCATTCCTCCTCTCAGTTTGGCGGCGTGGGCAGTGGCGAGACAGTGAGTGCGGTGACAGCAGCAGCAGGAGTTCATCCCTCCTGTGCACCCCTCTTTTGAGGTGTTTCAAAACTCATTCCCCCCTTTTTCCCCTTTTACATCCCTCGTCCAGTCTGGGCGTATGGGCAGTGGTGAGACGGTCCTGGTGACGGCAGCAGCTGGAGGGACGGGCCAGTTTGCAGTGCAGGTGAGATAAGGGCGCAGGAGGCATAAGGAATATCGCAATGTGAGGTGAGAGACGAGAACAGCAGTGGTGGAGGGGTGTGTGAGCTGCTGCTGAGAGTAGTGAGCAGTGAGCATCTAGTGGTGAGCAGCGAGCATCTAGCGGCGGTAATCCGCAGTGAGCAGTGATCAGCAAGGAGTCGGGAGCAGTGAGCAGCTGCTGTGAGTAGTGAGCAGTGAGCAGCTGCTGAGAGTAGTGAGCAGTGAGCAGCTGCTGAGAGTAGTGAGCAGTGAGCAGCTGCTGAGAGTAGTGAGCAGTGATCAGCAAGGAGTCGGGATTGCTTTTGAGTCGACTCAAAAGGATTCGGGAGAGAACTGTTTTCTATCCTTTCACATCATGGCATCATTTGCTGCTGTCTGTAAGAATTCCAAGATAGTCCCCGTTTTCCCTTTCACTGCGGCAGTCGGTTCAGTTGGCCTGTGGCCCCCCCTGTCGCTACTCAATCCATTAATCTCACTCCACCTCCCCCACTCTATATGCGCCAGCTGGCGAAGCTGGCAGGCAACAGGGTGGTGGCAGCATGCGGCAGTGAGAGCAAAGCAGTAGCGTTGATGATCATATCCCCCTCCACTTTCTCCTTTCTTTACTCAGTTCCATGAACCCACCCCCTCTTTCCCTCTCCTATCTCCCCACCTTACTTGCCAGTTGGCAAAGCTGGCAGGGAACAGGGTGGTGGCGACATGCGGCAGTGAGAGCAAGGCAGCCGTGCTGAGGGACCTTGGAGCGGATGTGGTGGTTAACCACCGCACAGAAACGGATATGGCCAAGGTGAGTGAGTCTAATTTGGGCCGCCTAAATCATACGCTGGGTGGTTATCCACCGAAGAGAAACGGATGTGGCCAAGTGAGACAGCGTGATATTGCAATCAGATTTCACAAGGCAGAGCAGGTGCAGTGTTGGGGGACCTGGGGCGGATGTGGTGGTTAACCACCGCACAGGAAAGGATATGGCCAGGGTGAGTGGATTTTAAAGCAACATTGTTTGTTTCCTAATGTCTGAGTGGGCTTGTCGTTTTCCAGTCTCCTTGTTTTTGTCTGTTTGTCTGTTTTTTTGGTGTGTGTTTTTTTTTGTCCCTCCACTCTTTTCCCTTTCCCTTTGAATTTTTTATCCCTCCTCCCTCTCCCCCTTCCGCACCAGGCACTGAAGCAGGCCTCTTGACCACAGGGAGCAGCAGTGGTGTTAGTCAGTGGGGGGCCAATAGTTTTGCTGCAAAGAACGCAATACAAGTCTGGTCAATTCATCCCTCAATTTCCATTCTCCTCTCTCTCCCCTCCTCCCTCTCCCCCTTCCGCACCAGGCACTGAAGCAGGCCTGTGGGCCACAGGGAGCAGCAGTGGTGTTTGAGTCTGTGGGGGGCGATATGTTTGCTCCTGCACTGAAGGCGCTTGGCCGATTTGGGAGGCTCATTGTGATTGGCATGATGTCACAGGTATGTGTGAGAAGTGTGGAGGGAAAGATGTGTGAAAAGCTGCCCAGTTAGACAGAAAGTCATTCAGTAATCAGAACTCATGCATAGGGAGCTTGTAAAATATTACTTTGAAATGCCACGAGTCATGGCTGGTTGTATGTGGTGCAGTATTAGCATCTTTGTTGCTCTTTTGTTTCTCGTGATTTATTCATACCATTCCCATCTCACTCACTCGTGTGAATCCCTAACCAGCTGGCATGCTGCGCCGGGATGGCAACCCAACATGTTGCGTCGGCAGCAGCCTAGTGAATGAATGAAGAGAACATTAGCTGATTGTCCGCTTTCTACACCTACCTGCGTGCCCCTCCTACCCTCCTCATGCAGTACACGGCAGGGCAGGAGGGGCAGTGGGTGAGCAAGGCTTATCCTGGTCTTTGTGAGCGCCTGCTCTCCAACTCCCAGACGCTGGTATGTATTGGATTGGAATCTATGGGCTTGCGGGTTTATGTGTTTGGCAGTTTACATGAAAACTTCATCTCTCGGTTTAACGTGCAAAGCTGGATTCTGCTCACCATCCGGCCTTGTTTGGTTTCAGCCAAGCTTCTCTATCCGATCTTCTCTTTCTTCTTCTTTCTTCTTCAACTTCGGGTGAACCCTTTCAAAAACTTTGCCCCTTTTTCCACACCGACCCAGATGTAAAAAGTGTTTTTTTTAGACGTCTCAAAAATTCACTTTCTACACGTAAACCCCCCTTTCACAACCTTGTACACACGGCCACGGTTTCAAGCCTCCCTTCCGGAGCACCTCTTGTTGCACCTCAAAGCACCATCAAATGGACTGAAAGCACACCTTTCAATCTCTTATCAAACGCCGCCTTCTTGTCAAATGGAGCAAAGCTTGCTGCGGCCCTTTTTGTCAATCTCTCTTCTCCCTTTCTCTGCTCCCTTTGCCGGTGTTGGCCCGCCTCCTCCCTCCTGCACGTTGGTTCATTCTCCCTCTTGCCGTGCTCCGTCTTCCTCCCATCTGTGGAATTTTCTCGCCCTTCTTTTTTTTGCGCAATTATATCTTTACCCTTCTCCATGCTTCCGTTCACCTCCCACATTACAAGGTCGGGTTCTTCTTGCTGCACTACCCGCAACTGTGGCGCTCCCATTTCACCAAGCTGGTCACCCTGTACCAAGCAGGCCTGCTCAAGGTGGGATGGAGTGATAGGTAGGCAGTGTGGGTGGGGTTTAGGCGTGCAACACGTGAGAAGGGAGGAGACCAGCCGTGGCGCTCGCACTTCACCAAGCTGGTCACCCTGTACCAAGCAGGCCTGCTCAAGGTGGGATGGAGTGACAGAGGGGACCTGGGGCTTGCTACAGGTGATAGGCAGGAAAGAAGCTGCGTTTCTTTCTCCTGCTACACTACCCGCAACTGAGGCTCTCGCATTTCACCAAGCTGGTGACCCTGTACCAAGCAGGCTTGCTCAAGGTGGGGTGGAGAGAGAGGGCATGGAGGTAGCGTGGCAGTAGCGGAGGTGATAAGGGCTGATTTTCTTTGCTCTAAGCTCACTGCCCTCTTCCTCTCTCTCGTGTTATGCTTTTTCCGGGTTCTAAGATATTATATGTCCTCCCACCCCATACACTGTGCCCTCGTCTCTCTCCCCCTTTCCGTCCGTCTATCATCTAGTTCTGAGGCGTCTCAAATCCTTCTTCCCCCGATCATCGCAGGTGGCCCTCGATCCGACGCCGTTCAAGGGACTTCCTGCAGTGACGTCAGCAGTGGAGCACTTGCAAGCTGGGAGCAGCGTGGGCAAGGTGGGTGGGAATTAGGTGGGCTTGGATGTAAATCCCATAGGGTGTTTTGGGATATACCCCTTGTTATTCGGAGTATGTCTTTTCAATCCCGGCCTTTGTGTTATATCCTCCACTTGGCCGATTATTTTCTTTGCAGGTTGTGGTTGAGATCAGTCGGAGCGGGAATGTGTCACCTTCATCTCGCCTTTGATTTTTGGCTGGTGCCGTTGGCGGCAGCACTGAATCCCTCGTCAACGTATTTTGCCTCATACGCTAACGACGTCCCTGTAATGTGCTAGGTTTCGAAAATCAAAAGAGAAAAAAATGTTCGCTACATATGGCAGGGCGGAGCTATCGTGTGGTCAGGAAACTTGGTTAGGGATTTGGCAGGATGTGATTAGTTCAGCTCATTGACTTTAGTGTACAGAGGAGGTTAGTTCCATGGAGTGACTCTGGTATCGGACTTCCTAAAAGCGAATTTCTGTCAGACATTCCCGCCAACCGTGGCGTACTCCGCCGCGTCAGCTCGTGTCCTTGACGTCATGCAACCCCCCAGATGCTTCCTACCAGCCTTCCACATATGACGCACTCCCTGCTTTCAAGAACGGGGTCTCGGGATGTCGGAAAATCTTGTAACGTAGTTGTGACAGTCACTTGCTCCCTTTCTCCAGTCAGCGTGGAAACGCGATTCACTGCTCGCCTTTTCGTAAATCTTCGTGATAGGCTCTTTTGAACTCAATACCACACTCTTCCATCTCGTCAATCACGAAGGAATAATTGGTTACTCAAGGATGAAGGCTAACCCGCTAACATCAGAATACGCGCTAAGACCAAAGACTCTGCGAATCTCTCCCCTGAGCACCACCAACCTGCTCCCTAACTGGCTCCCAGCAGAAGAACCATCAGGCAGGGAGATTTGTGTGACGCAAGGCGTTACACGAAGAAGCTATGCACACACCAAGCAGCAATGCAGCAGCAAAAACAATCCAGCGAGCTTTGAGTTTTAGGGACGACAATCGAGCGTAGCAGAGAGATAAGTGGGAATTCTGTAGTGAATCCGAAACTTTTGGATCCCGTTGTTCTGAAACCGAGAGTGTTAGGCGGTGTGGTAGTAGGGACGACTGGCAACCTCTCTAGACTCACGAAAAGTATCGGAGTATCTCACACGAGTAGCTCTCTGCTGTTTAAATCTACCGTTTCGTTCAGATAGCTGTCATTGCCGACCGGTTTATCACAACGGCATTGGTGGAATGTGCAATTTCATTCCATTGTCACTTCACTGAAGATTTACTTTGTTCTGTGAGCTCGCTACCGTGACAGAATCACACGCTGAGTCATTGTCGGAAGGTTAACAACCTGCGTCTTCCATTACATGCGATTTCTACATTCCCGTCGAAGTTTCCCGCTCCTTAGGGATCCGAATCTGACTTACAGCTTCGCAATTCGACCTTTGTTTCGTGCCTTCCCACCTCATCATTCCCCGTTTCTCTATCGTCAAGGTCGTACATTGAGAACATTAAAGGCTTGGGTATCTATATAAGCACTCACTGTGTTTAGATCATTCGCTAGCATTCGTTTGCATTTTTCGGGCTAAGCTCTGAATCACATTTTGGTTCGCACTCTGGACCGGACAGCACTCGTGAGTTATTTATTCGGACGTGACACACTCTGAACGCTGCGAGCAGCAAACGGTGTGAGCAGGTGTAATCAGTTGAAAGGAGTCGAGAGCGGTTGTCAATAGTTTGGCAGCAGCTAAATGCCAAGACAACCAATGAAACTGGTGGAAGCAGCTGCAAGCAGGAAATTGCTTAAGCTGGTGGGGACAGTAGGCGGTAGCAGCTGGTGAACGCAGGAAACTAGCTTGAAACCGGTGGGAACAGCAGTCAAACAAGACAGGCGGGCAGGCGGGCAAGCAGAGAGGCAGGCACGTAAAGTTGCAGGCAGAAAGGCAAGCAGGGAGGCAGGCAGAACGGCACAGGCGAAGAGGAAAGCAAGGCAAAGCGGAGATGATGTTCGGGAAGCGCAAGGACGACAAGGGGTTTGACATCGAGTTCAGCAGCGATGACATCTCCTCCATCCACACGGCGCACTCCAGCTCGGGGAAATTCCTGGACAAGTACAGGTGGGCGCGTGGCACAGATTGTTGAGGCGGATGGAGTGTGTGTTTGTGTGTGCGTGCATGGCACACGCGGTGGCAGGGCGGAGTTCAGCAGCGATGACATCTCCTCCATCCACACGGCTCACTCCAGCTCAGGGAAATTCCTTGATAAGTAAAGGTGGGAGCGGTGTGGGAGTGCGACTGTTGCATGCTGCTGCTGTGTGCTTCTCATCTCATCTCGTCCATCCACATGCAGCACTCCAGCTCGGGGAAATTTCTCAATAAGTACAGGTGGGCGCACAGCACAGGCAAGTACAGGTGCGGTTGGTACGAGTGTATGTGTGCCTGCATGGGTGTGGATGCTGCTGCTGTGTGCTCCGCATCTTATCTTGTCCATCCACATGCAGCACTCCAGCTCGGGGAAATTCCTCAATAAGTACAGGTGCGGATGGGGTGTGGGTATGCGATGCGAGTGTGCATGCGCGCGCGTGCTGCTGTTGTGTGTTCCTCATCTCGTCTCCTCCATCCACACGGCTCACTCCAGCTGGGGGAAATTCCTTGACAAGTACAGGTGCATGACCACCTGCTCTGCTCCTGCTCATGTGTGTCTCTCCCCTTCTGTCCCTCTCTCCGCTTTCTTGCAGTCTACCCGACATGGAGACTATGTTACAGGAGCTGGGGGTGATGGCGAAGCTGAGGAAGAGAGGGCACCACGCGGTGAACATAGAGCTGGATCTCACAGACCCCTTCGTGCATAAGGTACGTGGGGGCCCTGCCAGGCAACATAGGGTATGTTGAGTGGTCCTAGCCAGGCAGAAAGGGCGAAGCTGAGGAAAAGGGGCCATCACGCAGTGAGCATAAAGCTGGATCTCACAGGCCTCTTCGTGCATAAGGTGGGTAGAAAGGGACACATGATATGCTGAATGGGACGACCCAAGCAGCACCAGGTACGGTGGCTGACAGCATGTATGTAGCACTAGACACATGGCACCACGCGGTGAGCATAAAGCTGGGCCTCACAGACCAATTGGGTTGGCACAAGGTGGGTTGGGTAGGCTAAACCAATTGTCACATGTGTATGCACACTTAGCCCTGAAGCCCCTCTGCGAATGCGCACTGCGAATCCTCGCGTCCACTTTTCCAATCGTGCCATTCAAAACCCTCCCTCACTTCATGCCCTTTGAACCTTCTCCCCCCTGTCTGTCAGATGCTCTGTACCACCCCAGTAGCCCCAGGGGCACTGTGAGCGACTGTACCCTGCAAACCCGCACATCCTCTTCCCTGCTACCACTCCCTTTCACTCACGCCCTTCCAACTTCCCCCCTTATCTCCCCCCTGTCAGATGCTCTGGACCACCCCAGCAGCCCCAGAGCCGCTGTGCGAGTGTGCCCTGCGAATCCTCACCTCCACTTCCCTTCTGCATGTGAGTGCTCGTTTCCGTACTTGCATACCCCATGCTGCTGCATGTGAGTGCTTTGGTTTCCATCCATGCATACCCCATGCTTTCTCCATGCTGCATTCGAGCATTTGACAGCCAGTTGCATGCGGCTTAGCATATTTCTTCATCTTCCCAAAAGCGATTTTTCTTTGCTCTACTTCCTGCTTCCTTTTCTCCTTCCAAACCCTCCCCATTCCTCACAGGCTGTGCGGCCAAGCGAGGTGATAGGCGAGGGGGCAGCAGTGCTCAAGGCGTGGAAGGGCGCATTGGCCGAGTACCATCCGCTCAAGCTGCTGCTGAGGCTTTTTTGTGCGTGCGTGACTCTTATTGCCCATCCTATCCACGCCTTCCCCACAGGCAGTGCGGCCCAGCGAGGTGATAGGCGAGGGGGCAGCAGTGCTCAAGGCGTGGGAGAGTGGGCTGGGCGAGTACCATCCTCTCAAGCTTCTCCTCGTGGACTGGCTTCTGCTGCAAGACCCTCTTGCTCCCTGCGATGGTGAGATGAGAGCAGGGAACAAGATGTCCCGTTTGCCCTGTGTGATGGTGAGGTGAAGGCGTGTCGTGTGCCATTGTAACGAGGTGACTTTTGAGTCGACTCAGAAGCCTCCCTGCGATGGTGAGATGAGCTCCGTTCAAGCTTGACTTATTATTCAAAATTCCACTACTTTCTGTCTCCTCCTTTTCCCTCCCCCTTCCCTCCTCCCCTCTCCCTTTTCCTTCCCCTCTCCTTCCCTCCCCTCCTGTTCTTTCCCAGAGACCCTATTGCCAGGCCAGCACATGCCAGGGCTGGGGCCTGCTTTCGAGTCCCTATTGCCCTCATCTGTCCTTCTCTCTCTCCTTCTCTCCTCTCCCTCCCCCGCTCTCCCACTCTCCCTCCTCTCGCCAGAGACCCTACTGCCAGGCCAGCACATGCCAGGGCTGGGGGTTGCAATCGAATTCGGCAACTTGCTGTACCGCATGGTGAGGCATATCGTCTCTTTAGAAAATCATTTCGCGTGGTGAAAAGAAAACATGGGACACGAGTCATACATTACATGCCTCTTTCCTCACGCCCTACACCACATACCTCATACCATACGCCTCAACGACATGCCCCCCGCGCCCCACAACGCACCCAATGCAGGCACAGTATGGCGAGTTAGACACAGTGGTGAACCGCCCCCCACGACACGCGCCCCACGTCATTCACGCCACGTTTCACACGCCGCTCACCACACCCCTCTTTCCCCGTGCCTCACACCAGGCATAGGAGGGCGAGTTTGATGCAGTGGTGAACCGTCCCCTGCACTTTCACATGACACGTGGCACGTGCCACGTGTATCTATCCGCATGCCTCACGCCGCATCTCTGCTTCCCCATGCCTCACCACACATGGCAGGCACAGGAGGGCGAGTTTGACGCGGTGGTGAATCGCCCTCTGCACTTCCACAATGCAGTCATGTACGCGCCCACTGGGAACCGCTTCCTCAACCCACAGGTGAGCAATATCTGGCCAGGTGAGTCCCTACCAGTGAGACATCATGTGAGGGCTTGAAGCCTCTGGTCAGTCACCCCACTTGGCACTTCCACACAATGCAGTCATGTACGCGCCCACTGGCAACCGATTCCTCAACCCCCAGGTGAGTGGGTGAGACATTATGAGTGGCCAGCCATATGCTGTGAGTCATCTACGTGGCACTTCCACAATGCAGTCATGTATGCGCCCACTGGCAACCGCTTCCTTAACCCCCAGGTGAGTCTCTATCTAACCAGCGAGCCGTTATGTGGTGCAGATGGGAGGTTTGTTGTGGGTATTCGCAGCTGTGATGATTGCACCCCCTTTCTCACTGTCTATTCCCGTGCCCATCCCCATCCCCATCGCCATCCCCATCCCCATACCCATACCCACCCCCGTGCCCATGCCCATCCCAAGGTGGAAGCTCGTTTTCGAGTGCTGGTTCGGGACATGGAGGCTGATGTGCTGGCGAAGTCGCTTGCTGACGTGTCACACACCATTCAGTGTGCTGTGAGTGCCAAGGCCCCGTTTTCTGCTTCCTCCTCCTCTGCTCTCTTTCTCTTTATCATTATCGTCCAACCTCCTCCGTGTCGGAGTTGCTTTTAAGAATTCTTAAAATTGCGAAACAGTCTTGCTTTTGAGCATTTTCTTCTTCCTCCTCTGCTCTCTTCTCTTTATCATTATCGTCCAACTCCAGCATTTTCTTCTTCCTCCTGTGTTCATTAATCGGCACCCTGTCATTGCATCATGCCATTCCCCCTGTGCCACCTCGGACGAGGCAAAAGGCACCCTCTCGTTCCCTGTGCTGTGCTGCCACCTCAGAGCGGACACTATCCCTGTTGCCACTTGTCACACTACCCCTGTTGCCACTTGTCACACTACCCCTGTTGCCACTTGTCACACTACCCCTGTTGCCACTTGTCACACTACCCCTGTTGCCACTTGTCACACTACCCCTGTTGCCACTTGTCACACTATCCCTGTTGCCACTTGTCACACTACCCCTGTTGCCACTTGTCACACTACCCCTGTTGCCACTTGTCACACTACCCCTGTTGCCACTTGTCACACTACCCCTGTTGCCACTTGTCACACTACCCCTGTTGCCACTTGTCACACTACCCCTGTTGCCACTTGTCACACTACCCCTGTTGCCACTTGTCACACTACCCCTGTTGCCACTTGTCACACTACCCCTGTTGCCACTTGTCACACTACCCCTGTTGCCACTTGTCACACTACCCCTGTTGCCACTTGTCACACTACCCCTGTTGCCACTTGTCACACTACCCCTGTTGCCACTTGTCACACTACCCATGTTGTTCACTTATTGCCATCCTGTCATTCCCAATGCTGTCATCTCAGGGACTGCGGCTCACGATTCCAACCACAACTGGTGGAACCAGCACCACCACCAGCAGCACCACCAGCAAGCCAGATGCCACCTCCCCCGTCGCCTCCTCAAACTCAGATGCCACCTCCCCCAGCAGCACGCTAGATACCACCTCCCCTAAGAGTCATTCCGTCAGAGTCATCACCTGGACGGCTGAGGAGCAAGCCAATCCCGTTTCGGACAGGTGATCCGCACCTCTCAACACTGCCTTAATGGGATGCTTTCATAAATACCACGTGGCATCACAGCCAATGAGCATCTGACCCATGTGCACATTTTCCTCCTTGTCTCGACTCTGATCTCTTTGTGGTGGCAGGATGAAGGCCTTTCTGGCGTCGGAGGCTTATCTCTCATTGGTGCAGAGGACTCACGAGGCATCACAGCCAATGAGCATCTGACACGTGCACGCTCCATGCTGGTCAATGGGCGGCGTGTCTCGCTCAGCAGTAGCGGCCGGGAGCTGGGGAGTGGAAGAGAGTTGGGTAATGGGGGCAGTGGGAGGGAGGTGGGGAATGGGAACAGCGGGAGTGGGAGGGAAGCGAATGGTAGCATTCGGAGGGATGCAAACGGAAGCTTTGGGAGGGAGGGCTGCTGCAATGGAAGGGAAACGAGCAACCACTGCAGTTGCCACAGCCTGCAGAATCAGTCAGGCAACGCGGCTAATACAGATACAGGTGGGGATGTTACGGCTGGTGATGCTGGTAACCGTGTTGGATCTTTGAAGCCAATCTTTGGATTAGACTCGTTGGATGGGGTGGAAAGTCAGGAGGCGATTAAGAAGCGGATAGATGGAGGGGTGCCTGTATGGGAAGTGGTGATCTAAACGTTTTTTTGGTACAGTATTTGTTTTGGTTTTGATTGTTTTGATGTCGCAAAGCAGTGTAAGGCATTGCTTTGAGTTTGAGGGTTGTTCATGTATGAGGGACACGCTTGTTAGAGATTGCAAGCACTTTCTATCAAAATTAACTGCACTCTTTATCTTCTTTCTGCTTTCCATCACTACTTTCTCCAGTTCATGTACGGTTCAATTTCACTCAAACCCCTGTACAAACGCTGAACTGTATATTATTTTTATTATTGATATCATTATGTACAACATGTAGCCACTTTGCGGCGAAACAATTCTCACCGAACCGAATTGAAGTGACCTCGCACTGCTCGCCTCCATTCATCCTAGATCCTAGACCGTATTCCTAGATCTCACTCAACTTAGTCCTTGTTTCCGCTTAGGTTTCATCGTCCTTGCGTCGTCGCGTAACTTTCGATAGTATCTTCCCTAAGGTATCTAAGTTCGATAATATCTTATCTTCTTCCAACGTCTGTAAGATGAAGCCGAAGAAGCATAAGACGGAGGGAATTGCGTTGCTGTCGATGTATGCGGGAGACGACGACGATGACGAAATGGAAGAGGAGGAAGAAGAGGAAGAAGAGGAGGTGGAGGCGCAGCAAGGGGGAGCATCGGCGGAAAGGCGGAGCGGAAGCGTAAGCGGAGCGGAAGGGGGTCGCCCGGGGGATGACGGCGCGGCGGAAAGGGGAGAGCGAGCGACGCGACCGGGGGAAGCGGCGGAGCGATCGCGGGAGGCTCGGGGAGGCGCGTTAGGGATATTTGGATACGGACACGACGCGGGGGACGATGAGGTAAGTCGCGGGTAGGGACTTGATGGTTATGGTTGGTTGAGGCACTTGAAATGTCGGCCGGGGAATGCGCGTTGCTATATTCGCTGGGCGAACACGTTGCTGGAGAGGATGAGGTAAGTCACGGGTAGTGTTTCGTCGATTAGGGTTCCGTTGCTCGTTGGTAGGCGAACCCCCGCTGCCCGCCTTGCAGGCTCTTTGTATTAGGGTGTGTTTTTTTAATTAATTTGAGGAATTTATTTGAAGAATGTGGTGTAGATTCAACGTACGTAAACTGCAATAAGGTTTCGTGGTCCCATGATCTCATTTTCGCTCTCCCCTCTTCCCCCATACCCCGCTGCTCGTTCCCCTTCCCCGCTCCCCCTAAATCGCGCTCCTCCGCCCGCCACGCTTCTCCTCCGCGCCCTCCTCCCATGCCTCGTCCCCCTTGCGTGCCCTTCCGCCGCGCCGTTCCGTCTTCCCCCGGTTCCGCCTCCGCCTCTCTTCTTTCCGCCACCTCCGCCGCTCCCCGCTTAGATGCGCGCAGGACGCGGAGGGGGAGGCGGATGAGCGGCAGGGAGGCGCAGAGGCCTTGCAAGAAGGTACAAAACTCCCTCTTTTTGCTGCCGTGCCTCTGGTTGTCATTTTTGTGCTTTTTTGCAATTGCCCTCTATTACCGTTTTGTATATACATACATATATATGAATGTATATATGCATGCATACATCATACATGCATACATACATACATACATACATACATACATACATACATACATACATACATACATACATACATACATACATACATACATACATACATATATATATGTATATATTGCTCTTTTATGGGTGTGAGTAGAGTGCATTCTAGGCATGACCTGCGTTCCTGGTCTTCAGTCTCCATCACTTTGCTTTGTTGTTCTATAAAGGACCTTTGTCGGCGCTCCTCCCTCCAGTGCCATTTAGGCTGACTTCCTTGTTACAGTCTGCGCCTTTCCTCGTCAAAGCAATATCTACTTTCCACCCGCTCATTTCTCTAACCACATCCCTCTAACCCTTTTCTCTTCCCTTTCCTGCCCTACCACCTACCACCGCACCCCCCACCGGCCGGTCATTCTCCCCACCTCTTCTCCCTATGCCAGCCCCCAACCGTGCCACTCCAGGTTCGGTGCATATCCTCTCTCCCCCCGTTGGCCGAACCACACCCACTGTTGGTCGAATCACTCCTCCCCCACCTGGCTCTTTGGACGGTGACGTGGCAGTATTAGCAGCCAATGGCGTTGCGCCACGTGGACAGCTGACGCCCCCTGTTAACGGAACTATACAGGGAGATTTAGGGGTCGAAGGGGAGATGGCGGGGGAGGGGAGAGGAGGGGGGGATGGGGGGAGGGGTGGAGAGGGGGGTGCAGAGGTGCAAGGAGGGGAGGAGGAGGAGGAGGTAGAGGAGGCATTGAGAGGGTTTTTGCCACCCCCACCACGAGAAACGTGGTCAGAGCAGCTTCAGGTGTGAGAGTGGGAAGCCAGGGGGAGGGGGAGGACCATGGGGACGGAAGAGGGGGAGAAGGGGAGGGGGAGACGAGAGGGAAGAGGGGGGAGAAGGGGTTGGAACTAGTTAGGAGAACTGCTCCATTTGAAACTGCTGATAACACCCCGTGTGGATATTATTGCACTTTTTATACACGAGCATTCACTATATTGCATTTTTTATTCACTGCCCATCCTGTAAAATGCTCCATGGGTCACATGGAAATATGCCACGTGGCATGCTGTGATTGGTGTTTTCAGGCCAAGTTCATTCGGTATCTAGAGCTGAAGCGGGCCGGCAGGAGCATCAACGACGCTCTTCGCAACTCCAAGGGCTACCGCAACCCTGACTTCATGCAGCAGGTGGGTTGAGTGTGGTAGCGGGGATAGGGAAGGGATGAGTTCCCGGTTCATGCAGTATGTGTGTGAATGAACGTGTTGGGGGGATGGTGGGAGGGTCATCAGTGGCAGAAGTGGGGCTGGAAGCTGTCACAACGGCTGGCAGGAGAATCGTTGCAGAAGTGGAGTGGAGGGCAGCCCCGTCCTCTCACAACGATTCTCTCCACAACTCTAAGCGACTATATTGGTGTGACTTTTGAGAATTCTCAAAAGAAACTCCACAACTTTAAGGGCTACCGCAACCCTGACTTCATGCAGCAGGTGGGAATGAAGTGAAGGGGATGGGATGAAGGCTTGATATGGTATTTGGCACTGAAGGGGACAGGGGACTCTTCACTCAAATTCAAAGGCTACCGCAACCCTGACTTCATGCAACAGGTGAGGAAGAGATGGGGGAAATTGTGGTGGCGGGTGGGGAGAGGGCTGTGACTGTGTTGGGAGGACGGGGAGGGTTGTCAGCGATGCTCTACTCAACTCCAAGGGCAACCGCAAAGGCCCGTTTGTCCCTCTGTTCGCTTCCCTTTTGAGAATCCTTAGAAGCTATTTTCATGTAACTCCAAGGGCAACCGCAAAGGCCCGTTTGTCCCTCTGTTCACTTCCCTACTGACCTTTTCTTCTCCCGTTTTCTCTCTTTCTCTCGCTACAGGTAGTGAAGCATGAGGGTATAGACGAGCACGGGTCCTGCTTTTCGAAGGACGTCTTCAATCCCCATGGCTTTGACCGCCTTGACTACTACGACGCCCTTGGTACGCTTCCTCATGCTTAACTGATTTGTGCCTGTTTGGGACTTACTTAGCTAAAATCTGTTTAAAAGAATGAGTCACGTCTTGCATTTTTATTGGTCTGTTTGGTTTAGCTGTATTTATTTGGAACACTTCAGTATCCAGAGTAGGTCATTTCCTCTCATGGTTTCCCATACTTACCTTCGCCATATGACCTTGCAATTATTGTTGCTATTCGGTATGCTCTGTGCGGCATGTGGCATGTGGCATGTGGCATGTGGCATGTATGGCATGTGGCATGTGGCATGTATGGCATGTGGCATGTGGCATGTGGCATGTATGGCATGGCCATGTGAAATATGCATGCGGTCATGGCTCATGTTGCATGTGGACATGTGTGCACCGCTTTGCATCTCTCTGCACCGCTCTGTGGTCATATTTCTTATGGTCCATGGGGCAGTGGCGGAGCAGAGGAGGGAGATGGAGCGTAAGGAGCAGGAGAGGAGGCAGAAGGGCGGGCAGATAGAGTTTCAACGAGGGGGGACTGTGGTGCAACTCATCGCTGCTCCTCCTAAAGGTATTCCTATCACTTTGCATCTCTCTGCACCGCTCTGTGCCCCACTACACGAGAAGGCAGAAGGGCGGGCAGATAGAGTTCCAGCGAGGGGGCACCGTTGTGCAACTCATCGCTGCTCCTCCTAAAGGTAATGCACCGCTCTGCACCGCTCTGTCTGTAGGGGAGTGACTGTTCAGTCGAGGCAGAAGGGCGGGCAGATAGAGTTCCAGCGAGGGGGCACCGTGGTTCAACTCATTGCTGCTCCTCCTAAAGGTAATGCGTTTACCACCGCATCTCTCTGCACCGCTCTGTGCCACATTGCACGGGGAGGCAGAAGGGCGGGCAGATAGAGTTCCAGCGAGGAGGAACCGTTGTTCAACTCATCGCTGCTCCTCCTAAAGGTAATGCTTGTTAAATAGTGCAGTGAAGTGCACCACTCTGCATCTCTCTGCACCGCTTTGTGCCACATTGCACGGGGAGGCAGAAGGGCGGGCAGATAGAGTTCCAGCGAGGGGGGACCGTGGTGCAGCTCATTGTTGGCCCTCCTAAAGGTACTGCACCACTCTCCATCTCCCTTCACCACTCTATGCGAAATTCTACAGCTCGTTGCTGCTCGGCCTAAAGGTATTCCATGTAGATCTGTGCACCAATCTGCACCACTCTCTACCACGTTACAGCGAGGCTCATTGCTGCTCCTTTTTTTTTTTATCTCTCTCTCTCATTTTGGTGAATTGTGTCAGCCTTCTTTTTTCTTCTTTTTTTGGCTCTGCTCCCGACAAGTCAAGGGCGACCTCTCTCATCCGACCCCTCTCAACCAACCCCTCTCAACCGACTTCTCTCAACCAACCTTTCTTGCCATGTATCCAGTGTGTCTTCCCCTCGCTCTCCGTCTGCCAATCTTGTTCCATGTTCCCTGTTTTCCCACGCCTCCCTTTCGTGCTCCTTTCCGTTTTTTCCCCGCCTGCCAAATCAGGAGCCTAACCCATTGCAAATGCTGCAGCTGCAACAGCTGGCGGAGCAGGGGGGATGGCGTCTGTTCCTGTGCAACCAATGGCAGCAGGGGCCGCAGCAGCAGATGTTTTGAGGCGCCTCAAAAGTCTTTCCCCTGTGTTCCCCATCTGCCAAATCAGGAGCCCAAACCGTTCCAGATGCTGCAGCTGCAGCAGCAGGTGGAGCAGGGGGGATGGCACCTGGGCAACCAATGGCAGCAGGGGCCGCAGCAGCAGCAGGAGCGGCAACAGCAGGAATGGCAGCAGCAATGGGGGCAGCGGCAGCAGGAGGTGCAGCTGCTGCTGGTGTGGGAGCAGGCATAATGGGTTCGGCTCCTGGTGTTATGCGGGGAAGCACCGGTGCTGCTGGTGGTGGGGATGGGTTGACAAGAGGCGGGAAGAGGAGCAAATGGGATAAGGTACGGTTCAGGATTCTGCGTTTCGGGGGTATTGCTGGCTCATTACGGGAGTAAATGAGAGTTATTGAGGATGGGGAGCTGGCTGGGCTGTGATTGCAGGGAGGCAAAGAGAGAAGGGAAATGAGGGGGAAAGCGGGGTGAGTGAATTGGAGATGAGGAAAATAAAGTGGGAGGAATAAGTGGGATATTCTAAAGCAGGGAGAAGGAGGAAATATGATGAAATTAGTTATCTCAATGTCTCCATTGTTTGGACACTGGTAACATGGTATTCCGGTCTGCAGCCCTGTCTCACCGTCTCTCACATAGCAAAACCCATTCTCACCGTATGCCACCCACCTCCATCGATTTTTACCCATTTGCACCAGGTTGTTGCGGACGCCCCACCAGCAGCAGCGGGAGGAGCAGCAGGATCCGCTGCTATTGGTTCTACCGGTGCTGCTGCTACAGGTGGCGTTGCTGGTGCGGCTGCCGGTGGCGTTGCTAGTTCTGGTGCTGCTGCTGCTGCTGCTGGCGGTACTGGCATGGGCATAGGGCGAGGGGCGCACATGGCAATGGCAGCAGCGAGAGCGCATGCAGCTGCCATCACTGCCGCCGCTGCTGCTGCTGCCACTGGGGGTGCAGCACCCACAGGCGCACACATGTGAGTCTCTATCCCTCTCCCCATTGCATGCTGCTGCTGCGGCTGCTGGTGGTGCTGCTGGTGCAGCGAGAGCACGTGCAGCTGCCATCACTGCCGCCGCTGCTGCTGCTGGTGTGGGCATGGGCATAGCGCGAGGGGCGCACATGGCAATGGCAGCAGCGATAGCACATGCTGCTGCCATCACAGCCGCCGCTGCTGCTGCCATGGGGGGTGGTCGTATCATAGTGGTCATCATAGTGGTCATCATAGCCCCGCCCCCCCTCTTCCGCGCCCTTCCCCTCGTCCCCCTCCCCCGTTGTGCATGCCTGATATCCTGCTGTTCTCTAGTGCAGGTCGTGTGATAAGTGATCCTTAAAGCCCCAACACCGCCCCCTCCCCGTTGCCCTCCCCTACCTCGCCTTGCGCTGTGCTTGCCTCATGCCTATTGCGGTGTGGTGCAGGTCGTATGATAAGAGCGGACACAGGCGTTGACAGATTAAGACATATTATGTGTCTGTACGATATGGGGATGGGGCTTCTTGTTCAGGCATGGACAGAGACTGGTGGTGGTGCTGCAGTCTTGTCGTGTGCTATGGTCTTCATGTGTGCTGTATAGACTTGTGTGGGGCAATGGAGCACTTGTCGTTTGTGGACACGACTGGTGCTGCTGCGGTCTTGCTGTGTCGTGTTGAGGTCTTACAACTCCCCTTCTCGCCCAAAAGAGTGAAATGACCCATTTGATTTAGTGGTTAGAGCATGTCATGTGGCAAGACTGATTTATATGAGACTCTTTCTAACTATGTAAGACTAGTCTATAGTAATGCAAATGGAAACTGCAGATTTGACTAGACTTGTCAAATCAACTGCCGTTTCTATGTGATGGTTGCAACAACGACTACACGTAGTCAATGGTGTGTACACGTGTGCGCCGCACTGGCAGATGCACATCTGGCGAATCGCAAATCTGTCCTTAGCTGGCATGTACGATTACCAACCTGTCCTACTCAAGCCCTGGGTTACTAGGCTTGGCATGGCAAGACTGCGGCAGGTCCGACCTAGAGTGACTCACTGACACAACAGCGTCAGCGTCCAATAGAAGTGCGTGTCATTGGTTGACTCCGCGAGGCGGATGGTATACAGTACCGTACAGTGTACACTGTATACATCAAAACGAAAGTTGTAAAGCTGACGCCACAATGCGTCTAGGAGCCGCTTTCGTGTTCGCGGCGCCTTCAGTATTGCGGATGGCATTACGGCTCCGGGTCGCGGCGAGTCGGGGCGGCGGGTAGCGTACAGTTCGTCCTACCCTGCTAGCTGGCTGCCTTTGCTTAGTTGATCAATTCTTGACCAAGCGGTACGACATGCGCGAACCACCTTGTCTTGCTAGCAGGGCAACAACTCTAAGCCAATTCAGACTTTGGCCTGCTCCGAACCCCGACATTCCGGACTCTCCCTCACCTCGGTGACGTGAGTTGGGTATTTTGTTTCTATTCAAACTTCTGCAAAAAGTGCTGGTTTGGTGCTTAGTTGTTCGCATTTCAAACCCCTACATAGCGTAGAAATTTCCTAGGAGCACAATGACATATATACCCTCGTGTTAACAGGATAGTTTTTTATGTTTTCTTTTGAACCCGTGTTCGTCCGCTCAACGACCCGCGGCTTGCCTTCGCCACGCATGCAGCATTGCAACCACTCTTCCCGCCCCCCCTCACTCTCAGCCTTTCCCAGCCCGCCCCAGATTCGGGCCTCACACGCTTTGTTTTTTCGCCGGCTTTACTATCCGTGCCACTTCTGCCCCCGTTTGAAAGAAATCCTGCCATATCCTAGGATGGCTTAAAGTTCCGGAGTGGTTCTGGTTGAGATATATTTATCGGTACCCGTTTCGAGCCCCCCGCAGAACGATGCACTTCTCCATTTAGCATTGCATCCACCACAATCAGTCACCTGGCTCATAGTCATGCTTGTGCTGGTCAGTATCAGCACTTAGCAGCCCAGATTATATGATTCGGATCCTCGTAAAGTGTAGTGTCAGATTTTCAGAAGAGCTTAAAAAGTTTTCACCACAAATACAACCACAAAAATCTCATCTGGACCATCGTCTCGGGTTGGGGGGGAAGGAATCGGCGGGGAATGGGGGGACGCGGAACTGTATTGAACGGCGTGCACGGAGTCTCCGCAGAAGCGGAAGTCAAGCGGGAGGGAAACGGAGCGTTGTGTGGGTCGAATCGGGTGGTTGGGTGGACGGACATCGGCCGCAGGAGCTGGCGGAAGGATGGCCGCCCACGGGCCTTGCGGACTCTCCGACCGAACCAGTTTCCAGCCCGCCACGGTCTGGCTCACGCACGCACCAAAGCTGAACCGTACCTAGACAGCACAGGAGTGTAGCTTCGCTCGGTGGGTGGCACAACCAGGTTCACCCTCCAAACCAGCTCGAGGTCAGTGAATAAAGAGCCCCCCTTGGTTCAATCCCCATATCAGTTTTTCCATTGGCCAGGGTTAGAATTCCCGTCCACAACAGCACTTCCTATTCCATACTCCTTCCAGCCGCCATTTTCTGAAAAGTTTTTACCACGTCGAATCTCCTCTTCTCGGCCTTGACAACACCTTCCGCGTTGTGCAACCCAACCATGTCGAAGGCGTGGCTCTTCGTGGCGCTGCTCTGCAGCGCGGCGCTGCTTGCTTCCGCCGCCGTAACACCCGCCGCAACCTCCGCCGGCCCGCGGTGCAAGAACCGCTTCCCGCGCAAGCCGCTTTGCAAGTTCGTGGACGACATCGCGTCGAACCCGCTCGCGGTGATTGACGGCACGACGGGCAAGATGGTGAAGATCGGCGTGTATCAGATATACCAGGTCAGTGTAGCTACTAAAACACGGGTCAGTTTAAAACTGAACAAGGCTCAACATTTCACCAGACGTAATGCGTTTGTCGCATCATGCGTCAGCGCGGACCTCCCGCTGCGCGACATTGCCAATGCAAAGCATTCTTTTATTATATTTAATATCATTTCTCTTTTATTCCCCTGCCAGAAATTCCATCGCGATCTGCCTGCAACGAAGCAGTACGTGTACGGAAAGGATGAGAAGACCGCCGCTTACCCGGGTCCGGTCATCGTCGCCCAGCGTGGCGTCGAAACGAAGGTAAGTAGCGAATAGTGCTGGTTACATTTGCACGCATTTTTGCTATAGCCGCATGAGGGGTTCACTGAGAATGTTGTTTCTTGTTTTGTCATTTCTGTCGTGTCGCGTCGCAGGTGTATTATGAGAATCACCTTCTAGACAGGCAGCACATGTTCACTGTAGACTACACTCTCATGCCCGGCATTCCCAAGCCGAAGCTCGGCGGCATTCCCGTTGGTATGTCCAAATGCGAAGCTCGGCTCGCGTGTTACCACTTCGTATTCTTCGCTACCTGCTTCTTCATTCTCTCTTACGAGCTGCCATTTCGCGTCTGGACTTCTCGCAACGCCTCGCGTCGCCTCTTCGTTGCCCCTCACTTATCACCATGTATCTGTTTTTCCTCCTTCCGTGTTCGCAGTGCCGCATCGTCACGGCGGTGAGCAGCAAAGCGACAGCGACGGCCACCCACAAGCGTGGTTCACGCAGTTCGGCGAAACGGGCCCCACGTTCAAGTCCCGACTCTACACCTACTCCAACAAACAAAACCCCGCCGCGATCTGGTACCACGACCACACGCTCGGGTGGACGCGTCTTAACACCGTCGCCGGCATCGGCGGGCTCTATGTGATTAAGGACCCCAAGGGGTATGAGAAGAATTTGGGATGGTTGCCGAGCGGCGCGCGCGAGGTGGCTCTGGCGATTGCGGATCGCATGTTCTTCGCCAACGGTTCGATCAACTACCCGAATGTTGGGAACGTGCCGCGCGTGCACCCGAACTGGAACCCCGAGTATCTGGGCAACACCATCGTTGTTAACGGCAAGGTAAGCATGACCTTTTCGAGTTTACTCAACCGAGGTGAGGTGACTCAAAAATCGCCTCAACCGAACTGGAACCCCGAGTATCTGGGCAACACGATCGTCTTTAACGGCAAGGTAAGCGTTACTGAATGCGCGACCGTCGCGCATGCGTACGAGTCGTTGTCTCGCTGTATGTTCATATTTGCTGCTGCATTATCACGTTCCGGCAAGGGCACTGAACAGCTAGATTATCTACAGCGACTCGTCCTCTAAAAGTATACGAGGATCTGCTCTTCACTCTGGTTCCCAACCCTTCCGCATTCCCCCTTCCGCTCGTCAGGTGTGGCCGTACATGCGCGTGCGCCCCGCAATGTACCGCATGCGGCTGCTCAACGCCGCGAATGCGCGCGTGTTCAACCTCAAGTGGGTCTGCGCCGCGCGCGCCGATTACCCCAACTTCGTTCCGCCCATCCAGGGTTCCGCGATGTCCGTCATCCAGGTGAGCGGAAAACTCTCCGCCACTATTATCCCCCGGGATCTTCAAAGTGGCAAGTCCGTTCCGCGGCACGCCCTTGAGTTCCACTCTACTACTAGTGATAACTCTCACTTCTTCCGCTGCACTCGCGGTGTCGCTTGTTCGTTCCCGGCAAGCGCGTCGGCGCGGCAACTTTACAACGCTTTTTGCGCCCCTTTCCTTCCCCGCCCCTCCCCTTCTCCCCTACCGTTACCCCTAGATCGGCACTGACGGCGGGTATCTGGTCCGCCCTGTGCGCCGCACCGAGGTGCTTCTGGCCCCCGGCGAGCGCGTCGATCTCCTCGTCGACTTCTCCCTTGTCCCGTCGGACTGCAAAGACGTGATTATAACGAACGACGCGCGCGCCCCCTACCCCGCGGGCCAGCCGGTCACTGCGGAGACGGGCGTGGTGATGCGCATCAACATTTTGAACAAAAAGCGCATCCCGTCTCCGACCATTCCCAAGAAGATCAGCGTAAGCTCACGCTAATTTTATTCGACTCCATCGGGAAAAAAACACGAAAAACAGATCTGGGAACCCGTGAGGGTATACTAAACATTCTGAAAGAAGGCACACAAATCTCCATCCTCCCTTTTATTCGCAAGTCTTCGTTTGTCGCTACAGACTCGCATCTGATAATTCTAGCAGTTTCTGGTTTCGTCGACCTGCGCGTCTAATTTCGTTACCTCGTTCTTCTTCGCCTGTATGTTTCGTTAAACGCAGTGGATGCCCAAGGTGCCTCCGATCAACAAGGAGCGGTACGCCATGCTTGTGGAAATCATGGAGCGCGGGACGAACCAGCCCATCCGCATTACAATCGACGGCAAGTCGTTCATGGACCCCGTTACCGAGACTCCCAAGCAGGTGCACTGCCCTCCGAATTTTCCACTCCCTTATTCCGGTTTTTTCGTATGATGTGAGATATAATGCAACTTGGTATGCCTACTGTTTTGCGCCTTTTGTTTTACCCTCTTTGAGTTATCTGACATTTTTATGAAATTATAATATGCAGGGCGACACCGAGGCATGGTACTTGATCAATCTGTCAGCCGATGCCCATCCGATGCACGTACACCTTGTCCAGCACCGTCCCTCCTGGCGCCGCCCATTTGACGTGGCTGGTTACCAGTCTGGTCGTTGTTCATTCACGGACAAAACCAAGCCAAGCTGTTACACTGGTAACCGGCAGCTGGTTGGCTACCATGAGAGGGGTTGGAAGGATACCACCCTGGCGTACCCTGGGCAAGTTCTGAAGCTCATTCTCACATTCAAGCGCCAGGTATGCTATGGAATTTGTGTCAACCTGATGCACATGCCTGCAATTTATTGTCAACGGCACTGCAATCAGCATTCCCTCCCTGAATGGTCCCTACCTCTTCAATGGGACATCCTTTTAATGTGTTATATTCACCTCTTTTCGTGGTCTTTCTGTGTACAGGACATGTTGCCGTATGAGTTTGACGCCAGCACTGGCCCCGGCTATGTGTGGCATTGCCACATCCTTGACCACGAGGACAACGACATGATGCGACCCTTGGTCATCACAAAGTAGACTCCTTGAATCCCGTTACCATCAAGAACAAGTGGTGGTGGTGGCTGTGGGCCATCGGGCCAGCTTCGGAGAAAGGTGCATTCTGTTACTACCATGTTGTAGCATGGAAATATGGGTGTAGTGTATAGGATAATGGGGCTGTAGGATGCAGACTGGCTAGCAGATCTCTAGTAGGGTCTAACTGGCTTCATGTAGCTAGGTGGTGTAGACTACAGGGTCTCTAATTTATATCGGAAATAAATATTTCGGGGAACGCGAATAGCATATGTACGAATACAATACCTTTGTTCTACCGTGCAGTGCACTGCATGAGCTGAACAGGGCAAATACTTGACATTCTAAATACGCACTCCAAACATGAGCATAGCAGCTAGCAGCACGGCGACAATCACAGCGATGTAGTGCGTGGGAATGGCCGTGGCGGGGGATTGTGGTGAAGTTGAGTGTGATATGATGGGAGCTGAAGCGGTGTTACGGAGTATATACGAGCAGATAGTCTAGAAGCGCACACCAAACATGAGCACAGCAGCGAGCAGCACGGCGACAATCACAGCGATGTATCGCGTGGGGATGGCCGTGGCGGGGGGCTGAGGAGGAGGGAGGAGTGGGAAGTGGTCTGGCATGGAGCAGGAAGAACCGTAGAAGGAGAGGAGCGTAGGAAAGAGGTTCTTCCCATCAGCTGCTGTGAGGTTTAGCCCTGGGACCATACCGAACTGCCAAAAGGAGTTAGCGGGAAGGGAGAGGGAGGAAAGTAAGAGGGACAGGAGTGAGGAAGGGGTGAGAAGTGGTCATGAGTAACCGTCGAAGGAGAGGAGTGAGGGAAAGAGTATTTTCTCCCGTCAGCTGCTGTGAGGTTGAGCCCTGGGACGAGACCGAACTGCAACGAGAAGGGAGGGGGATGGGGGGATTGGGGAGGAGATGATGTATTTTTGCAGCTTGGAGGAGGGGGAAGTGGTGTGGCATGGTGCACGAGTAACCGCCAAAGGAGAGGAGTGAGGGAAAGGGTTTTTTTTCCATCAACTGCCATGAGGTTGAGCCCTGGGAGCATACCGAACTGCCAAGAGAAGGGCGGGGGATTGGGTAGGGCATGTGAGGCAAAGAGAGGGAAGAAATAAAGGGACGTGGTCTGGCATGGAACATGAGTAACCGTTGAAGGAGAAGAGTGAGGGGAAGAGTTTTTTCCCATCAGCTGCTATGAGGTTGAGAGCCCTGGGAGGGACCATACCGAACTGCCAAGAGAAGGGCCAGGGATTGGGTAGGGCATGAGAAATAGCCACAGCCCACCACACAAGCCACAGCGCCACTGATCACCTCACTAGCCCCACCACACTAGCCACAGCCCACCACACTAGCCACAGCCCACCACACTAGCCACAGCCCACCACACTAGCCACAGCCCACCACACTAACCACAGCCCACCACACTAACCACAGCCCACCACACTAACCACAGCCCACCACACTAACCACAGCCCACCACACTAACCACAGCTCACCACACTAACCACAGCCCACCACACTAACCACAGCCCACCACACTAACCACAGCTCACCTTGAAAACACTCTGCACGTTGCCAAAGGTCTTCCCCTTGAAGGGAGACGGTGTGCCTTCCAGCCAGCTGTTGCTGCCTGTGAAGCCGTAGAGCACGCGGGATGTGGCTGGAAGGGGGAGAGGGGGGGTGTGATGAGGGATAGCACAGCACAGAAACAAGGGGCAGAGAGGTTGGGAGGTGCTAGAATGCCTCTAGAGGCAGCGTGCCTTCCAGCCAGCTGTTGCTGCCTGTGAAGCCGTAGAGGAGGCGGGAGGTGGCTGGAAGGGGGAGAGGGGGGGTGTGATGAGGGATAACACAGCACAGAAACAAGGGGCAGAGAGATTGGGAGGTGCTAGCATGTATCTAGAGGCAGCGAGCCTTCCAGCCAGCTGTTGCTGCCGCTGGTGAAGCCGTAGAGGAGGCGGGATGTGGCTGGGGGGGGGAGGGAAGGGGAGGGGTGGGGAAAAGTGGGGTTGTTGTTGCCTGTGAAGCAATAGAGGAGGGGGGGCATGGGCAGTGGTGGGGAGGGGAAAGGGGTGGGGGGGCAGGTAGAACAATGACCTTTCCAGCTGTTGCTGCCTGTCAAGCTATAGATGCAGCCGAGACATGGCTGGAGGGGGAGAGGGGGGGAAGAGAAAGGATAAACACCGAAGCCAAGTAGTTTGGCTGGCGATTGCATGGATTTTACTGATCTTATCACAAACATTATTGAACCTGAAATATCACCAGAAAGGGTCGTACCCACCCTAAACGGCACCTAAAATTAAAGGGTCGTACCAGACACGTTGGCGTATCCGAACGAGTAGATGGCCGAGGTGTTGGCGATGGAAGGGAGCGTGATGAGATGAGCGCTACCCAGTCAGAGTCTGATGCACCCCACCCTAAGCCTTAAAGATAGGGCCTCAAAGCAAGGGTCTCAAGAAAAGGGTCATACCAGACACGTTGGCGTATCCGAAGGAGTAGATGGCAGAGGTGTTGTCGATGGAAGGGCACGTGATGAGCGCAACCCAGTCAGACACTGGTGCACACCACTCTAAGCCTCAAAGAGAGGGTCTCAGAAAGAGGGTCTCGTACCCGAGGCATTGGCGTGTCCAAACGAGTAGATGGCCGAGGTGTTGGCGATGGAAGGGAGGGCGATGAGCGCAACCCAGTCAGACACTGGTGCACACCACTCTAAGCCTCAAAGAGAGGGCCTCAGAAAGAGGGTCTCGTACCCAAGGCATTGGCGTGTCCAAACGAGTAGATGGCAGAGGTGTTGGCGATGGAAGGGAGGGCGATGAGCGCTACCCAGTCAGACACTGGTGCACACCACTCTAAGCCTCAAAGAGAGGGCCTCAGAAAGAGGGTCTCGTACCCGAGGCATTGGCGTGTCCAAACGAGTAGATGGCCGAGGTGTTGGCGATGGAAGGGAGGGCGATGAGCGCTACCCAGTCAGAGTCTGGTGCACACCACTCTAAACGGCACCTTAAATAAAGGGTCGTACCCGAGACATTGGCGTATCCGAACGAGTAGATGGCCGAGGTGTTGGCGATGGAAGGGAGGGCGATGAGCGCTACCCAGTCAGACACGCTGCTGTTTCCACGGTTGATGATGCTCAGCTGATGGCATGTGGTGGGATGGGGTGGGGTGTGGTGGGGAGAGGTGGGGAGAGGTGGTCAGGAAAACAGGGGAATATTGGTGGTGCGGTGAATGTGGGTGATGGGACACCGTTGCTACGGTTGATGATGCTCCGCTGATTATAGAGGGTGTGGGGGGGAAACAAGGGGTGGTGGGGAAGAGAGGTGGTGGGGAAGAGAGGAAACATGTGTGGTGCGGTGGGTATGGGTGATGAGCGCTACCCAGTCAGACACACTGTTGTTGCCCCGGTTGATGATGCTCAGCTGATGGCATGTGGTCGGGTGGCATGTAGCACCAAACCCACCTTGGCGACAAATCCGTCCTCATAGACGGCGACCACGTGCCAGTGCAGGTGGATCGGGCAGCTGTCGCGGCACCGGGCAGAAATAAAGTCCCTGTCGTCGCCGTACCAGCTGGGAAGCTTCTTGGAAGGGACCACATCGCCCCTGCCACCAATGGTATCGAAGATCGTATCTGAATCGCACCAAGAGAGGGACGGAACGAGGGGAGGTCAAGGGAAGGATGGGAGAGGGAAGGAATGAAGGGGGAAGGAAGCAGGGGAGAAATAAGAAAAGGAAAGGACCAAGAAGAGACACTGGAGCCACAATCAGAAAGAGGAGCAGAAAGTTAACCGGGCTCAAGACACACCAGGAGCAGCACACATGGGCCAATCACGCACCAGGTGCAGCACACATGGGCCAATCACGCACCAGGAGCAGCACACATGGGCCAATCACACACCAGGTGCAGCACACATGGGCCAATCACGCACCAGGAGCAGCATACATGGGCCAATCACGCACCAGGAGCAGCACACATGGGCCAATCACGCACCAGGTGCAGCACACATGGGCCAATCACGCACCAGGAGCAGCACACATGGGCCAATCACACACCAGGTGCAGCACACATGGGCCAATCACACACCAGGTGCAGCACACATGGGCCAATCACGCACCAGGTGCAGCACACATGGGCCAATCACACACCAGGTGCAGCACACATGGGCCAATCACGCACCAGGAGCAGCACACATGGGCCAATCACACACCAGGTGCAGCACACATGGGCGAATCACACACCAGGTGCAGCACACATGGGCCAATCACGCACCAGGTGCAGCACACATGGGCCAATCACGCACCAGGTGCAGCACACGTGGGCCAATCACGGAGCCCCAAGTGGGGATAGCTGCTGCTGTTAGCCGCCGTCCCATTCCCAGCAGAGGGAGCACCGAGGAGCAGACTAGAAAGCGACGGAGGGGAGAACGAAGAGGTGGGAGGCGAAACCGAGGACAGGGAAGCAGAAGAGGCGGAGGTGGTGGAAGAGGAGGAAGACGAAGAAACAGCCTCCCCTGGGCATCCACAGGCGCAGCTTTTGCAGGGAGCCACATAGAACTGCCCGCTGCCACTCCCGGTGCTGCTGCTGCGGCCAAAGATGCTCCCCCAGGCGCCCTGAGGGGAGCCAGTGTTGTTGAAAGCAGCAGAGAAAGAGACGCAGCAGGCGGGGCGAGGGGGCAGGAAGGTAGGGTCGCGGTAGCAGGCGTAGCGCCACGTGGCGACTGCTGATAGGTTGCGGGAGGGGTTAACCTGATGAAAGTGGGGGGAGGGGGGAGGGGGGGAGGGGGAGGGGGGATGGGGGAGGGAAACGGGGGAAGAGGAGAGAGAAAGATGATGGGTCAATTCCCCCCAAGTTAAGCACGCTCCTCCCGCAGTTGCCCTTGGGGGAGCCGGTGGTGTTGAAAGCAGCAGAGAAGCACACGCAGCGGTGGTAGCGCCACGTGGCGACCACTGATAGGTTGCGGGAGGGGTTTACCTGGTGGGATTGGAAGAGTGAGGAGGGGGAGGGGGAGGGGAGAAAGGGAGTGGGCAGGGGGGAGGGGGAAGAGGAGAGAACTGTGAGGGGTCGATGTGAACAGCAGTGGAGTAGACGATTCTGGGAGGCTGAGAGAGAGGTTGTGAGGCGGGGTGATGGTAAGAATGGCCTTGAAACCTTTAACGGGGACAGAGGGATTTTATCTGAGACACATCGACTCACGGGGAACTGGGTGGGGTCAGTGCGGACAGCAGAGGAGCAGACTATTCCCGGGAGGCCGAGTGAGAGGTTGCGAGGAGGGGCGATGGAGGGAATGGACTTGACATATAGAAACCTAGTGTCTGCTAGATTCGAGGAGAAAAGGGTGCCTACTAGATTGACTCACTGGGAACTGGGTGGGGTCGATGCGAACACCAGCAGAGCAGACTATTCCCGGGAGGCCGAGGGAGAGGTTGCGAGGCGGGGCGATGGAGGGAATGGCCTTGAACTGGCGCGTGCGGCCGATGCGCAGGCGGAACTGAGCGAGAGAGGCGTTGCCCTGATGAGATAAAAGGAGGGGAGGGGAGGGATTGCATTGCATGCAGCGAGTATTGATGAAGACTGTTGAGTGAACTGGCGCGTGCGGCCGATGCGCAGGCGGAAGTGAGCGAGAGAGGCGTTGCCCTGATTGGGATCGGAGAAAAAAATGGGGTGAGGGGTTTGCATGAAGGAGGGGGGTGATTGCTTCACCGTCAGCCTTATATGCTTGTATGCATGTCGCTTATTAATACGACGGACCATTCGGGGTTGGGTACTGGGAGAGAGCAGGGTCCCGTGGGGAAAGGAGCGCGGACCAATCGAGCCGTTCTTGCAGCATGACAATGGAACTCCCAGAGATGGCCCCAGGTCCCGCCCACTCTCACTGCCATACGCCCCTCCTGGCAGATCCACGAAAGACAGGCCGCGGCAAGGCGAGCATGAGTTTGTCTGAGAGTGAAGGCCCTCTAGACCTCACCTGGTACTGGGCAAGAGCAGGGTCGCCATAGGGAAAGGAGCGCAGCCCAATAGAGCCATTCTTGCAGCACGCCAGGCGCACTCCCAGGGTGGCCCCCAGGTCCCGCCCACTCTCACTGCCGTACGACCCTCCAGGTAAATCCACAAAGGTGGGCCGCGGGGAGCAGGAGTGGGCGGAGGCGATGGCTGCCCCGTAGACTGCAGAGGAGGCGGACTGCTGCTGGCAGTTTCCTTGTTGCGTCGTCTGTGCTCCGTATGCCTCCCAGACAATCTGAGAGCAAGAAGGGGGTTGGGAGTGGGAGAACGAGGAGAAAGTATGAGCCCCAGACCTTCTTCCTCAAACCAAAACCCCCAGCTTTTGAACCCTAAACCCTGAAACCCAAGCCAAACCTACCCCCCTTGTACCTCATTCTGCGTCCACCGCCAGCTGAGCGCCCAGGGGTCGTTCCTTGGGGGCCCAACGCGCCTGTCCGCCTGCAGGTTGCTCGGGGTCCATGAATTCATGTCCCACCTTACAGCTTGAACCCTAAACCCCACCTCATCTTAAACCCCTCGTACCTCATTCTGCATCCACCGCCAGCTGAGCGCCCAGGGGTCGTTCCTTGGGGGCCCAACGCGCCTGTCCGCCTGCAGATTGCTGATGGTGACGAGCATCTGATGGTCCATATCGCTCGCTGCTGTCACGTCGATCTGGACCGTCAAAGCAGGGACGATCGGGGGGAGGCGGGGAGGGGGGCGAGGAGGTGGGGGAGGCGGGTAGGAGGTCTCCCTGCAACAGACCTGGGCGGGGATAGGATGGGAAGGCAGATTCAGAAACAGGAAAAGAGGGGTGAGCAACAGGGGGAAGGGGGGATCCGCAACAAATAATGGACTGCAAGAGGGCAGGGGTTGGAAGGAGAAGAACTGGAGGCAGTAGGAGCGCGTTCATGGATTGATGGATTGAAGGGACGCAAAGGCAAGTGTTTTGACTGCAACCTCACCTGGATTCTGTTGGGAGATGGGAACTGAGGGCGGTTGGATGCACAGTGGAAGCCTGCAGAGGAAGAAGGGAGGGAGGGGAGGGGAGGGGAGATGGGGGTTTGGGGGGATTGGCAGGGAGGCAGAAACGACAGAGAGTTCTGAGTAGGGCTTTGAATTGATGGGGGGGGTGATAGAAAGCATTAAGTTGCATTTAGGGTTTCATGCACAGCAAAAACTTGCAACAGAGAAGGGGAGGAGCGCAGGAGAGATGAGTGGCTGAGACGTGGTAAATCAGTTCACGCACCTGGTGTGGAGAGGTAGAGCGTGCGCGGGAGCGCCTTGCTGGCAGTCGCCGCCCCAAACTCCGTGCCAAACACCTCCGCGAACACCACATACTGCCGGACGTCGCCGCCCGCGTGGATCGCCGTGATGAGGCGGTCGCTCTGGTCGTCAATGCTGGAGAAGAGCAGAGCGGAGCCTGTGGGAGGTAGCAGTGCAATGGGGGGGTCGGGGAAATGAGGGAAGAGGCAGGCAGGTAGTGTGAGGCGCCTCCTAGTGGGCAGTGATGAGGCGGTCGCTCTGGTCGTCAATGCTGGAGAATAGGAGCGCGGAACCTGTAAGGGGGGAGAGGCAGGGGGAGACGGTGGGGGAAGGTGGGTGAGTTGGCGGAGGCAATACGGGAAACAGATGCTCAGATTGTGAGCGCCTCTGAACACCGCAACGCTACCCGGGCACCTCATCAGAGCCCTAGTCAGGGGAGGCACAGGGGATGAGACAGATCGCACACAGGGGAGTGCATTGGTTGCCATCTCACCAGGATACGGCAGCTCTCAAACTCCACTTGAGCGTTCTTTCTCAGCAGAGTAATGAGCTGAGCTTGTTGCGAGTACGCTGTGTTGTGAGTCGATGCCAAACACACGGTGGCTGGAAACTCACATGAGTACGGGCCAAATAATCAGGGTGCGGAGCAGAAAGAATGTTTTTCCTCTCCTACCTAACCTGGGTAAGTCATCTCACCAGGGTACGGCAGTTCGTATTCCACTTGAGCGTTCCCCAGCAGAGTGATAAGCTCGTTGCGAGTGAACTCCACCCTCACCTCCCACCCCACCAGGTCCCTGTGGCGACAGGGATTCAGAGGCGTTAAGAGAGTTTGAGAGGGTTGGGGGAATACAGGGACGCAAGGGGGAACAGTGGAGTGAGGAGCTCGTTGCGAGTGAACTCCACCCTCACCTCCCACCCCACCAGGTCCCTGCGGCGCAAAGTTTAAGGGGGATGGTTTAGGGACGAGTGAGAGCGGAAGGAACGGAAGAATTAGGAAGAATATGACTCAACAGGATGAGCTCGTTGCAAGTGAATTTTGCCCGCACCTCCTACCTACCTCACCAGGTCCCTGTGGCGCCAGAAATTGAGGGGGTGGTGTAGGACGAGTGAGAGTGGAAGGAATGGAAGAGGTAGAAAAGGATACAACTCAAGACACATCGGATGAGCTCGTTGCTAGTTGCTATTTGCCTACTGCTTGTTGCATGGACAGAGATAGGGCGTAGAGATGGAGGAGATTGAGACGGGCCACTCACCTCTTGCCGGTGTTGAGGAGCTCGATCTTGGATTTGAACCCGTACGGCTTCACACTCCCATTCCACACCGACGGGATGTTGATGATGCTCTCTATCACATACGCCACCGTGACGCCGAAGCACGGAGCGGGAGGGGCGGGGACGATGGGGCCGCGGATGGGAGGAGGCAGGGGGGAGGAGAGCGAGAAGGGGCCGGTCGGGGGCGGGCGGATTATCGGGTCTGGGATGGCGTCTGACTGGTTGGCTGTGAGGAGGAAGGAGGGTGGAGAGGAGAGGGGGAAAAGCATTTGAAATGAGGAATGGAAGGGAAGGAGAAGGAAAAAAGGAAGGTAGGGAGACCAAAACAGCATTTCCCTTCCCTCCAACACCATCAAGTGCGTTTCCCTCTCCTTTCCTTTCCCACAATCAACCTAAAGTGCTTCCATCCTTTCCCTTCCCCTCATCACCCTCAGTGCGTCCCTATCTCTCCCTCCGCCCAAAGTGTTTCTCTCTAAGTTCTTCCCTCTCTCTCCCTCCGCCCAAAGTGTTTCTCTCTAAGTTCTTCCCTCTCTCTCCCTCCGCCCAAAGTGTTTCTCTCTAAGTTCTTCCCTCTCTCTCCCTCCGCCCAAAGTGTTTCTCTCTAAGTTCTTCCCTCTCTCTCCCTCCGCCCAAAGTGTTTCTCTCTAAGTTCTTCCCTCTCTCTCCCTCCGCCCAAAGTGTTTCTCTCTAAGTTCTTCCCTCTCTCGCCTTCCCCCATTCTCCCCAGAGCTTACCAGCAGGAAGGGTGGCGCCACTTGTCATGACATTGCTTATCACGGCACCACTAGCAGCAGCATCAGCAGATCCACTGCCCACATTAACGGGTACTGATGGGGGAATGTGAGCTGTTGAGGAAGAGTCTGCTGCTGCTTCTGCTGCTGCTGACGTTGATACTGAAGACCCAGGGGTGGGTGGTGGTAGTGCTGGTGATGATACAGTAAACGGGGGTGCTGCTGCTGCTGATACAGATTGAAGGGGTGTTACGGGGGAAGGCGGTGGTGGTGCAGGTGATGCCTGTGCTAATGTCGACGTTACTGACATCAGCAGCAGGGTGACAAAGGCGAGGGTTCCCCCCGTTATAGGCCCCGCCTTGACGCCACTGCTGTTCGCCTTTCTCCGTTTCTTCTCATTCCTCACGCGTCTCAGCCCCATCTGCTCCTCATCCCTCTTGACAACACCTCCATCATTCTGACTCCACTCAACGACATCCTGATTCCGTTTCACACAACCACCCACTTTCATCTCAGTATCACTCGCTGTAGCATCCATGCAGAGTGTACCAATCATCTCGTCTTCGCTCCTTCCAAAAATCTCATCCTTTTTCTTATGTATTAGACCAGACGTTTCTTGGTATTCCCATCCGCCAAAACCGGCCAAATGAATTTGGAACTCGTCGGGTCGATTAAAGCCGCATGGCGAGGATGGTGATGATGCAATTGACGGTGACGATGGAAGCGGCACTGTTCGTGGCATCCTAACCGTTGTTCGCGCCATCGTGGAGTCCGTGGACGGCCGTATCCCCTTCAGAATTCCTAATCTCATTCTCGATTGCTCCCTCTGGTGCCGTGAATTGACTGCAGCTGTAGGTTCGTTTGTTCTCCTAATGCCGGTAGTGGTGGCGGTGGCGGTGGCAGTGGCAACGCGGCCTAGGGAGGCCCAAAACACTTGATAACGAGAGTGTTTAGCGTTCTCGCTTAGCCTTACTGCACCAAACGCAAGAAGTCTCAGGACTGACGGGAACACCGAGAAATTTTGAAACTCGGTGGCGGTGGCGGTGGCCGTGCAGCCAAAAAAGGCCGTCGAAGACGCGGATGATCAATGTTTCTGCTGACGATCTATGCGATGTCCTGACGACCTGTGAGACCAAGTGCCCGACGGCACTATCGCCTTCGCAGCTTCTGATACAGAAAAGCTGGCGAATAACGAGCTACTGTTACCCAGGTGGACTATTTTCTGGCGTCGTTAGAAATTCGAGTCATTCGCACGCTTCGCCGCACGCGCGGCGTTGTCCATGATTCACGGAGTGGAACGTGGGGACGACCTGCCATATGCCGTCCGTCGCATTGTGTACCGCTAGGAGGCAAGCTAGAACGACTAGCCACGCTTCGGATGCGCGGAAGCGTCGCGCGCAGCAGTAACTGCGCTCTTACGCATCGGAACGGCGCCATGGTGACGCTGGGACTCGGAGGACGTACTGACGAGGTGCTTTGGTTAGGAGAAAGCGAGAATGAAGCTGAGTAAGATTCAATGGTGAGGAGTGACGACGATGAGACAACTCCTGTAATTGATTATGGCGGTTGGTGGGATGGAGCGGCGATGCTGTGAATTGTGCGGCGGTAATCTCGAGTGGAGCGGACTTTCTTTTTTGGCGGGAACTAATGTCCTGGGGATGAATTAGCGGCAATAAGAGCTGTTTCATGACAAAAGCCTGTAAAATCAACCAATTATATGGTAAGTGACTTGTAATATCCACATTGATACTATCTAAAGCATATTACTATTACTGAAAATATTATTTAGTATTTTAGTGTCAAATGTTGTAGCCTGTAGTGAGGTTTGTCTTAGGGGGTACAGATGTTAGGGTTTGTTATATGTACCCCAACCCACATCAATGAACCAACACTTCTATTCTTGACATGGTATCACCTAGGTTAGGATCCTGTGGGATCCCGCATCTCTCGTCCTCGTTCGTTCCGCCCGAGCCTGTCTCGCTCTCTCGTACTAGTCGTACCCGTCTTGCCCGAGCCTAGGGCCGGCCCGATCCAATCTCGCTCGTTCGTTAGCGCCGGCCCGATCCAGTCTCGCTCGTTCGTTAGCGCTCGCTCCGCCGACCCGCTTTCCGCGTAGCGTAGCGCCTTCCCCCCCCCCCCCTGCCCGTCACGTCGCGCTCTCCCTGGCGTCCCGTCCCGTCACGCCCTCCCCCGCTGCTCGTCGCGAAGTGCCCTCCCACCCTGCCCGTCGCGTCGCGTCCTCCCCCCGCTGCCCTAAACGCCCACTCGTCGTCGCCGCGGCGCCCCGCATTTCGTCGCCGCGCCTGCCCGTACCGCCCGCCGCCGCGCCTGCTCGTTAGGCCCGGCCGTGGGCCCGCTCGTCCCGTCGCCGCGCCTGCTAGTTAGGCCCGCCGCGGGCCCTCCCTTACAGCCGCCGCGGGCCCTCCTTTACAGCCGTCGCGCCTGCTTGTTAGGCCCGCCGCGGGCCCTCCCTTACAGCCGCCGCAGGCCCTCCCTTACAGCCGCCGCGCCTGCTAGTTAGGTCCGCCGTGGGCCCTCCCTTACAGCCGCCGCGGGCCCTGCCTTCCAGCCGCCGCGGGCCCTGCCTTCCAGCCGCCGCGCCTGCTAGTTAAGGCCCGCCGCGGGCCCTCCCTTACAGCCGCCGTAGTCCCTCCTTCGCACCGCTGCGCCTACTCGTTCAGTCCGCCGCGGGACCGCCCTTAGCCCCGTTGCGCCCGCGTTTTGCGCCCGTCACGGACTTGCCCTAGCCGCCTACCGTCCCTACCAGTGCCACCCACCGCCCGTGTTGCCTCTACTTACACTATGGCGACCCCTAGGGTTCTTCGCTTCGACGCTGACGGTAGACCGCTCGAGTTTCCGGTCTGGCTCCTACGTGCGCGTCGCCTCTTAGAGAGTCAGGTTCAGGCGGGTGAGTCCCTTTGGGCGCACGCTACTGGTGACCTTCCTGCGCCCGACGACCCTACGCCTTTAGGCCCTGCCCCTGACGACGCCGCCAGAGACCGCTTTACCCGCGAGCGTGCTGACCTGACGGCGTGGAAGTCGCGTGACGCTGCGGCCTGCATCGCTCTTAGCAGCCTCCTCCCTGAGTCTGAGGAGGCCCACTTCACTCAGGTTCGCACTGCTAGTGAGTTCCTGACTGCGATCAAGGCCCGCTACGCTACTCTCACCACTGTCTCTCTTGGCCGCCTCTTCCTACCGTTCTTGTTCCCTGACCTCGCCTCGTTTGAGCGCTCTGCTGACTTGATTGCTCACCTCCGCTCGCTCGATTCTAGCTACCGCGCTGCTTGCACTGACGCACAGCTTGCACTGCTTCCCCCTCCCATGGCGATTACTATCTACTTTATTGCCACTAGCCTCCCTGACCGCCTTGCCTCGGTTCGTGACACGCTTCTTCTGAAGCACCCTAGTGAGCTCACTATCGAGGTCCTTGAGTCTGCGCTCAAGGACGTCGAGAGCAACCTCTGCTCCGTAGCCTCCGCCTCTGGTGCTGTGCCCCCTCCACTGTTTCACGGGTGCACTGTCCCTCAGCTGCCCACTTTCACTGCCTCACTAGCCACTGCCACTACTGACGTGATCGCAGCTGCTGTTACGACTTCGTCGCGGTCTCGGGGTAGGGGTGGCAGGAGGGGCGGTCAGGGTGCAGGCGGCGGCGGCGGTGGCGGCGTTGGCGGCGGAGGTGGTGGGGGTGGCGTGCCGACCGGTGGCGGCGGGAGCGCAGGGCCTGGAGAGGCGTCTCGTGCAGCGGCCAGTGACTCCCCTACTGCAGCTGGTGGAGGCGACACCCGGCCTCGTCAGCCTCCTCCTGGTCTGCCGGCCGTGGTGGGTGGAGCAGCGGCGTGGTACCTTGCCCAGCGGCAGCAGCAGGTGCAGCAGCAGCAGCCCCTCCCCTTGCAGCAGCCCCCGCAGCAGCAGCGGCAGCAGCAGGTTTCGGGGCCCGTACAGCGTAAGCCCCAGCGAGGTGTTGTTCACCCTTCGTGCACCTATCAGGTTCTGACAGGTGCTCGCCGAGGCCAGCCTTGTGGCCGCACCCACCCTCCTGGTCAGTGCTTTGCTCAGCTCACTGACACGGTTCGCTTGGCCTTCGGCGTTGGCGGCCCTGCCCCTGACTGGTTTCCTCTTGTTCAGACGTACGGCTCCACTCTTTGGGGCATGTCTGCTTCTCAGTTGCTTGATATCTTAGGAACTCCTCATGCTATGTATGCTGTTGTTGACTCTAGTGCTTCTGACTCTGTTTACTCGAGTGTTGTTAGCTTAGGTGCTAGTGTTGCTGAGTTGCCTGTTGCTAGTGTAGGCACTTGTGTAGACACTAGTCCAGGCGCTACTTTGGAGGACGCTTCGCTGTCTTTCACTTTGGACTCTGGGGCTTCGCACTGCTTCTTCCGCAACCACACGACACTTACTCCACTTCCTGTGCCAGTCTCTGTGGCGCTGGCTGATCCCACCTCGGGACCAGTCACTGCTCGCTACACTACTACTCGTCCGTGCCCTGCTGTTCCCTCTGGGTCTCTGACTGGCTTCCACGTCCCCTCGTTCTCGAGGAACTTGGTGGGCGTCAGGCCTCTTGTGAGTCAGCATGTGGGTGTGTGGATTGAGCTCTCTGGTGAGACGGCGGTTTGTGTTGACGGCGACACTTACTCGCCCCTTGCCACCTTTACTGCCGAGCCGGGCTCTGGTCTCTACACACTTCACACTGGCCCTGGTGGGCAGCAGCAGCAGCAGCAGCGGCAGCAGCAGCAACAGCAGCAGCAGCAGCAGCAGCAGCGACTCCTGCCCCTGGCCCCGGTTACTTCCCCCAGTCTGGTCCCTACGTCTCACCAGGTTGCTGCGTCCCCCCAGGTAGCTGTGTCTGGTCAGGTTCCCGTGTCTGGTCCAGTTGCTGCGTCGTGCTCCTGCCGGTCGCTTGCACACCCCACCGTTCTGTGGCACCACCGGACGGGGCACCCGTCCCTCCGTCGTCTGCGCGCTATGTCTCGTCAGCGTCTTGTCTTAGGCCTCCTGCGTGTCTTGCCGTCGCTGCCGCCTTCGCTTGCACCGCCGTGCGGTCCCTGCGTCGAGGGTCGGCTGCGCGCCACCCCTCACTCCTCCTCCCTTCGTCCGGCCACCGAGCCTTTTGAGGCGCTCCACTTGGACGTCTGGGGCCCCGCCCCTCGCCTTGGCCCTGAGCGCGAGCGTTTCTTTCTGGTGGTCGTTGACGACTACTCCCGCTACACCACAGTGTTCCCCCTGGCGAAGAAGTCTGAGGTGACTTCTACGCTGATCAGGTGGTTGCTTACCACTGAGGGCACTCGTGGTCGTCGTGTCAGCTGTCTTCACTCTGACCGTGGGGGTGAGTTTCGCTCCGGCATTCTCGCTGGATTCTGTCGCGAGCAGGGCATTCGTCAGTCCTGGACACTTCCAGAGTCCCCACAGCAGAATGGGGTTGCTGAGCGCCGCATAGGCTTGGTCATGGAGATCGCCCGCACCTCCTTGACTCATGCCCGTGCCCCCCATTTTCTGTGGCCCTATGCGGTTAGGTACGCCGCTCACCAGCTGAACCTCTGGCCACGCGTCTCTCGGCCAGAGGCTTCACCGACCAGTCTTTGGACCGGGTCCCCTGGTGTTGCGTCGAGGTTTCGTGTCTGGGGTTGCTTGGCGCGTGTCCGCGACTCTTCCGCGGACAAGCTCTCGCCTCGCGCCGTTCCCTGTGTCTTCCTTGGTTTCCCTGAGGACTCCTCTGACTTCACCTTTTACCACCCTCCCTCTCACCAGTTCTTTGACTCCCGTGACGTCCGTTTTGAGGAGTCCACCCCCTACTACGTCAGGTACCCCAGTCGAGGTCTCCCGGTTCCTCCTCCCCCTCTCTTCCTGACTTCCGCTCCCCCTCCTGCTCCCCCGGTACAGCCTCCCCCCCCTGGTCCTGCCCCGTCAGGTGTGTCCCAGGCTACCCCTCCCCCCTCGGTAGCCCCTCAGGTGCAGCCTCCTTCCCCGCAGTCCTCCTCGCAGCCTGCTGCAGACCCTGCGGGAGCCGGTGCTCGTGGAGAGGGCCCTACAGGTGCTAGCTCTGGGGGTGCTGGAGTTGGAGCTGAGCCCGTGGTTGCAGGAGACTCTTGTCTTCCGGGAGCTGGTGTTGGTCTTGCTGACTCTGGGGGTGCGGGTGCACCCTCTTCGGGTCCTGGTGAGCCTGGTCGTGTTGCTGTTGGTGGTGCTGACTCTGGGGGTGGTGCGCCAGGTGCTTTGGCGGGCGGTCCCGGGGCTGCCGCAGCCCCCGACACTACTCCTCCCCCCCAACCCTACCCTACCCGACCCGGCACCAGGCTCGTGTTCGCCGTGCCCGTGAGGAGCAGCTGGAGTTGGAGAGAGAGGAGAGAGAGTTGCAGCGGCTGGAGGAGCAGCAGCCGCAGCTGGAGCCGCCGCAGCAGCAGGAGGCGCAGCAGCTGGAGCCGCTGCAGCAGCAGGAGGAGCAGCAGCCGCCGCCGCAGCAGCAGCAGCAGCCGCCGCCTCTTCCTCCTGTCTCTGGTCTTCGGGCCCTCGGTCTCCCCCCTAGCTCTCCTTCCTCCTCCCCCTCTCCTCCCGTCTCGGGTCCTCCGCTTCCTCCTCCTGACCCCTCCCCGGCTGTTTTCCCTCCTTCTCAGCCTCAGTTGTCCCCTCCTCCTTCTCAGACTTGGGCCTCTCGTCGCTCCCCTCGTGCTCGTCCCTCGTCTCCTGTTCTCGTTACTGACCTTCGTACTGCCCTCTTTCGTTCTAGTCCGCCTCGTTCGTCTCCGTCTCTCCTTCCGTCTCCCCCTGAGTCGGCCTTCACTGCTTCTCTCTCTACTCCTGTCACCGACTACTACCGCACGTACCGTCCTGTTCTCCCTCGTGTTCTCGCCTCTCTTGTTACCGACACTCGTGCCTCTGTCTCCTCTGTCTCCGCCCTTACTGCCGCAGTCACTGAGTTTGCCTCTACTCGCCGCCTTGACTACGCCACCGGTCTTGTGACTGCTCCTCCTACCAGTCCTCTGGCCGTCGGGGGTGAGTTTGCCCTTGGCTGTGACGCCCTAGAGGACAGGCAGCTTGAGCTAGAGTTCCTGGCAGCCGCTTCCCCACATCTCTGTGCCATGCTGCTCGCCCCTGAGGGAGACCCCGACGCCCTTGACATACCGACTCCTCGCACTTACGCTGAGGCAGTGTCAGGGCCTTGGGCCTCTCACTGGAGAGCTGCCATGGACGCAGAGATGGCCTCCTACAGATCCACAGGCACCTACGTCGACGAGGTTCCCCCCCCTGGGGCGAACGTAGTCGATGGCATGTGGATCTACAGGGTGAAGCGGCCACCGGGATCTCCTCCGGTCTTCAAGGCGCGCTACGTGGCTAGAGGTTTCAGTCAGCGCGAGGGAGTTGACTTCTTTCAGACCTTCGCGCCTACCCCGAAGATGACCACTCTTTGGGTGTTACTGCACGTAGCAGCACAGAGAGACTACGAGTTACACTCTCTCGACTTCTCTACTGCTTTCCTTCAGGGTAGCTTACACGAGGAGGTTTGGCTGCGTCGTCCCTCTGCCTTCACTGACACTTTCCCTCCTGGGACCTAGTGGAGGCTGAGGCGACCTGTCTACGGTCTTCGTCAGGCTCCTCGTGAGTGGCACGACACTCTTCGTTCTACCCTCTCTGACCTTGGGTTCCAGCCTTCTTCTGCCGACCCGTCGCTGTTCGTTCGTCGTGGCTCCACACCGTTCTTTGTTCTGGTCTACGTCGACGACCTGGTTTTCGCCACTGCTGACAGGGTTGCCTTGGCAGACGTGAAGTCCGAACTGCAGAAGAGACACAGTGCACTGACCTTGGTGAGCTGCGCCACTACCTTGGCCTGTAGATCACCAGGGACAGAGCTGCTCGCACCATTACACTCTCATAATCACACATGGTGCAGCAGGTCCTTCAGCGGTTCGAGCTTCAGCACTCCACAGTACAGCGCACACCTGTTGCTGTTGACCACAGACTTACTGGACCCTTTCCTGACGAGCCGTTTGAGTCTAGTGGTCCCTACGCAGAGCTGGTGGGCTGCCTCATGTACCTGATGACTTGCACTCGCCCGGACCTCGCCTTCCCTCTCAGCATCCTTGATCGCTTTGTTGCGCCAGGGAGACACCGTCCTGTTCACTGGATGGCAGCTGTGAGGGTGGCGAAGTACCTAGCGACGACATCAGGCGTGGGGCTAGTTCTTGGAGGGCAGCAGCCTGTCGTTCTTACTGGTCACTGTGACTCTTCTTACGCTGACGACGCTGAGACTCACAGGTCCACTCAGGGGTACTGTTTCAGCTTGGGTTCTGGAGCTGTTTCGTGGCGGTCCACGCGCTCCTCTTCGGTCTCGACCTCTACACCTGAGGCTGAGATCTACGCTGGAGCCATGGCGGCACAGGAGCTGCGTTGGTTGACCTTCTTGCTCGCCGACCTTGGTGAGCGGCCGAGCTCTGCACCGACCTTGTTCACTGACAACAAGGCGTCGATTCTCCTTTGTCGAGAGCCGCGACTGGAGAGCAGAGTGAAGCACATTAACGTCAGGTACTTTCTTCTGCGAGAGTTGCAGAGACGTGGACAGGCTCGCTTCGAGTTTGTGGAGTCCGAGGCCAACACTGCAGACATCTTCACCAAGGCGCTTCCGCCTTGTGACCACCAGAGGTGTTGTGTGCAGTTAGGCCTTGTTAACACAGTTTCTAGTCGTGTATAGGCTTGAGACTACTGTTTGCTTTGTTTGTACTCTTGCTATACACACTTGTGAACTCTCGAACTGGCCTTGTGGCCCCTGTTGCTTGTGCTCAGAGTGTGTGGTGACGTTGTGATCCACCCTGAGCTTTGTTTCTTTGTGACTGGTCTTGTGACCGTACACTTTTGGTTTTGCTTGACACCCCTCACTTAGGCTATGGGGGTGTGTCAAATGTTGTAGCCTGTAGTGAGGTTTGTCTTAGGGGGTACAGATGTTAGGGTTTGTTATATGTACCCCAACCCACATCAATGAACCAACACTTCTGTTCTTGACATTTAGTATGTAATTTAATGTCTAAATTTTAAAGAAACAACATATTACAAACATTCTTATGCATATCATCATTGGCCTTTGATTGAGTAGGTAGCTGAGTATATATTACGTTTCTTAGCAGTTCCCTGAATTAATTATATTAGAATCATACCTTTTCTCAACTGGAAACACGTAATCCCTAATCTCGTAAACCTTGTCACGCTTCATCACATGTCTTAACAAAACTTCGCCTAAAGTGTAGTATGCAGTTTGTTGCCAGGTTGCTCTTTAGCGAAAGGCAACAGGCCTCTTAGTCTTGGGAGTTGCTGCTCCCAACTGCCATGCTCAGACTGCTTTGCATGGTCGAGCTTACCATGGTCAGCCATAAACTTTTAGGAGCTTAGCACAATAGTTGGTAGGTTAAATTGTCGGAAGTGCTTCCGCGAATTTGCGCGACGATCTACCGGTTTAGGCTAGTTCTGCGGTTCTCTAACATCATACCTTGGCGTAAATAGGATTCGGATAAGCCATTCTTTCCACGTCTACCGTCTAATTCCAACAGTCTGAAGGCCAGCCTTTTCCCAGCTTCTCCTTCTGCAGAGTAATCATTTGTTCTCCTAAATTTTGTTTATTCACCAGTCAATTTTCATTACCAGGAACTCTTTGCTTCTCCTTCCTCTCCTAGACCTCTCACCAGTGACTCTAGAAGCCTCCTGTTGCCTTCCCCTCCTCGACCACCTCTTTTGAGCCGACTCAGTATTCAACCTCCCAGTGCTTTCGTCTTGAGCCATTCGTGTGCCGCTATCATTTCACTCTGTCACGAATTCCCTCCCAGTCATTGTTGAACCTCTTGCAGTCACCTCCTTCGTTCCCTCAGTTGCCTGATAAGGCAATTCCACTTCCTTCGCGATCACACGCGTAAGCATCAGCGTGTGAAATCAACTTACAGTTCAACCCGAATCACCTCACATTGGGATCTCCGCATTCTTAACTTTACGTCTCGCGGTTCCGTTTATCTTGCCTCTTGCCCAGCAGCTAATAGGGTTTTCTGACGGTGTTACCAATCCGCTCGCTAGTGTGGCTCGCTGATGCCTCGAGCTGCTGATCGCAAGCTCGCCAACCTCGCTGTCAAGCGGCTGGTGTCCGACTTCCTCGACGCGCCCTGCTGCGACACTGATGACTACGTCTCGTACCTCGGCCAGTAAGCCACGCAAGCCATCCCAAGCCATGCCAAGCCATGCCAAGCCATGCCATGCACTTCCATGCGTCTCGAAGCAGTGTGACACGGACGACTACGTCTCATACCTCGGATAATGCGTCATGCATAGCATATCATGCCGTGCCATGCCATGCATGTCATGCGTCTTTAAGGCAGTGTGACACGGATGACTACGTCTCATACCTCGGCCAGTGAGCCACACAAACCATGCCGTGCCATGTCATTGCATGCCATGTCATGCCTCTTGAGGCAGTGATTTCTGCCACGCGTCATTAGTCAGCGAGACACTGTTGATTGCATTCCCACCTCGGCGAGTGAGCCATGCCATGCCATGCGTCATCCAGGCATTGGCCATACTTCATGAAGCTAAGCCAATCACCGCGTGTGCAGTTGCGTTTTGGAACACTTCTCCCCTCCTTTCTTCTACCCCGGCTCCTCGCACAACTCCCCTCCGCCACTCACCCTTGTTGACCTCTGTGCACTGTAGTACCTACTATTTACTTCTCTCCACTACCCCGTACTAATGCCTCTCCATCTCTCTGTCGCTGGCTTTCTCGTTCCCCGTGCTACAGCCTATCCACCAGCCAGTCCGCGCCTCCTGCCAGCAGCCGAAACAGCAAGACAACTGTAGCGCCACTCTCTCTCATGCAGTCACACAGTATCCACTTGCACCCATTCCATTTCTCTCTCGCTTTCTCCCCCCCCTGCTACAGCCTATCCACCAGCCAGTCCGCGCCACCTGCCAGCAGCCGAAAGCGCAAGACAACTGTAGACTCCCACGGACTCTCTCCTGCTGTCAGTATTCCCTCTCCCCATCCTCCCCCTTCCTCCTCTCCTCCATCCCCAACCCCCCTCCACCCATCCTTTCCCCCTCTTCCTGCTAGTGTGACGTGCCCCCCAGCCTGTTTGTACGACTTGGTTTGCTTTCTTCGCTGGTTGTTTCCTTTCCGTCAGCCTGACTAAGTGGTCGGTTACCCTGTCTGCCTCCTATCGTCCACATTCGTTCACATTCCCTTGTCTCTCTTCTGCAAGCATGCGAAAACTTGGTGATGACAGGATGACAAGGCAGCGGCCCTTGTCCTTCTAAGGCGTCTCGTTTTTCCATTGTATAGTTTTAATAGGATGTGCTTGTTTGCCTGCTGAATTTTTTCTGCCCCATGCCCATGGCGCATGCATGCAGCGAGGCACAGAGCACAGCATGGACGGTCTGCTGCATCAGGTGCACCGAGCAGGCACAGGCATCCGGTTACAGAGTGCTTCATTAGAACTGAATTCACGCATATGTGTTTCTGTGTGTGCTGCCATGTGTGCCTGTGTGCATGCAGCGAGGCACAGAGCACAGCATGGACGGTCTCCTGCATCAGGTGCAGAAGCTCAAGATGACCGAACAGGCGCAGGCCCAGGCATCTCCAGCATCCCCGCTACTGAGTGCTTCATTACAGGCATCTCCGTTAGGCTCTGGCCTTGCTGATCAGGGCAGAGCAACGCACGATCGAGAAGGGGCTGCCACACGGTAAGTTTGATGTGAAACAGTAAGTAGTGTGTGGCGGTTGGTTGGTCGTCAACATGTGCCTTGGCTTTGCTGCTGACTTTTGAGACGTCTCAAAACTTGATAGAGCTGTCATCATTTGCTGTTCTGCACGTGCCTTGACTGAGCTGCTGGTTTCCCCCTTCTCTACCAAACCAGGTTCGATCCTGCATCATCCCCCGCCGTCTCACACACTCAAGAAGCTTCCACGGCAGTGGGTGTAGCGTCGAACGAGGGAGCACCTGTAACATCTAACATAGGAGCAACTGTAGCATCAAATGTAAGCTCAGCTCTAGCACCAGCTGTAGCATCATCTGTAGCAGCAACCAGACGCCTCTCACTCTCCTCCTCCCCAGCGCCCTCCTCAGCCTCCTCCACTGTCCGTAGATCCCTAGATTTGAGTGGTATGAGCCTCAACCCCCACGCTGCAGAGTTCGTTCCGGTCTTTGGCCCTCCTTCCCACGCCAGCAATCTCACCACTGCATCACAGTCAGAACCAGCGGCAACAGCAGGAGGAGGTGGAGGAGGAGGAGGAGGAGCAGGGGGAGCAGCGGGTGGTGTAGCCGGGTCTGCTGGTGCAGCAGCAGAGGGATACGCTTCCTTCCTGCAGGGCAGTAATTCAGGAGGGTATGCTTCCTCACTGCAAACCGGGTACGGCACAGGCAGCGGTTTAGCAGGGTACAACGGAGGGGCAGCAGCAGAGGAGGCGTTTGAGGAGTGCGAGGAGGAGCTGTTGAGCCGATCCCAGTCGCACAACAGCAATGCCTCTGACGATGAGTACCGCCGCTTCTGGCGCGATCGCCTGCCTGATGAACTGCTGAGCTTTGACGAGTCGCCCAAGGGGAGAGGGGGTGGGCGGGACGGGAGGGGCGGGGGCGACGGGAGGGATGGGTTTTTGCAGAGAGGGATGGGAATGGAGATGGATATTGGTGGGACAGGAAACAGCATGCATCGCCATGCAGCCAGCATGCCTTCTCTAGATAGCGGTCACGTGTCCACTTCGGCTGCTGCTGCCGGTGGTGCTGCTCCCTCTGGTGGCCCAGACAGTTTTGACAGGCAGGGGTATGGATACTCGTTTCGGCAGGGTGTAGGCCCTCCTGCAGCCCAATCCATGGGGAATATCCTGGAGGAGGTCAAGTCAGACTCGGCTCTAGACCACATGGGACCGCATCGCACCGCTCTCAATCTCTCTGGACCTGGCCAGCACCACCACCACATGCCGCATCGCTCGCCTTCTGGCCCTCTCATGGGCTCCCCAGCTCAGGGACCTTCCTACGAAGCTTCCCTTGACAGATCTTATGATCCGTCCTATGATCCTTCCGCTCCCTATCACGGCCCTCCTCCCTCACACCTGCTCTCTCGAAACGCCCCCAGTCCTGCCTGGAGACCTGCCCCAGGCCCACCTGGGTTTTCACCTGGGCCCCCACCTGGCGCACCACCTGGCTCTGTTGGTCCCGTCCCTTCCAGCCCTGTGATTGGCCGCGGAGGAGTACCCCATTCTCCCATGGGCACACCCAACAGATACCCCCCATACGGCGGGGTTAACCCTAACTCTAACCACGTGAGCCCGCAGCAGAGCCCTGCCAGGGGTCCTCCCCCCTATGCCTCCCCCGGAGGCCCTCTCTCCCGATTCGGTGGTAACCCTGTAACATCCATGTCTATGCCATTGCCTGGCGCTGCCTCTCCCCCTCCCCCAATGCATCACCCCTTCAACAGCCCTGCCAGGGGCTATCCCCCTCCCCCAAATGCAGACCCGAGGGCCATGCATCCCCCACCGTTTGAACTCCCTGGTCCGGCAGGGGGAGGGGACATGGGCGGAGGTATGGGGGGAGGGATGGGGGGAGGGATGGGGGGAGGAATGGGGGGAGGCGGGGGAATGGGGGGACCAGGGGGAGGGGATGGTATGTGGGGGGGTAAAGGCGGGGGAGTGAGAGAAAGAGCAATGTCGATGCCAGTTGGGTGGGGGGGACCGGAGGAAAGGGTGGGCGGCGACGATCGGCACGATCCTGTGCGCATACTCGCTACAGAGTTCCCCATGTTCAGTATAAGCACTCTGGCTGAGATTTTCTTCTCTAACGGCGCTGACCTCCCTCGGACCATGGAGATCCTGACCCAGCTGCAGGTGTGCCGTGCGGTTGGGATGGGTTCAGTTTGGTTCAGCTGGGGTCCACGTGGTCAGGGTGTATGCTACTGCTGTGTGGTTGGGATGTGTGACGTTTCTCCACATTCGTACCAAACCTACCTGCTCTCATCCTAAAATGATGCAACCTCAGCACTCTCTCCTCCCTCCCCTTTTTGTTTCTCCCCCCCTCACAGCTTCAGGACGAAATGACTCTCCCATCACCAACGCACCGCCGCCCCCCACCCCCGTCCGCGCACCCTCCTTCCCTCGACTCTCTCGACTTCCCCTCTCTCTCCCCCCTAGACCCCCTCCCCGCCTCCTCCTCCCCCATGCTCCGCCCCCGCCCCTCCTCTCAAGCCCCTGACACTCGCCCCATGCAAGGCTCTGTTCCTGATTTCGCCGGGGTGCTGCGAAAGCCGTTACCCCCGGGGGCAGCGACTCAGAACGCGTGGGGGGGTGGGCAGGCGGAGAGAAGCGGGGGAGGGGAGGGGGGTATGGGCGGAGCAGGGCGGAGAGGGGGAGGGGGAGGCGGAGGAGGGGTAGGGGGAGGAGGAGGAGGAGGGTATGAGTTTGCAGGGAGAGGAGGAGCACAGCCATGGCTGGAAACTGGCAATGCTGTTGGTGAGTGAGCATGCTTGAATCACTTTTGACAATTTTCACAAGTGAATGCTGCAATGCTGCAGAGCTGTTGCTCTCTTGGAATGTGTGGTATGTTGATGCATGAGTATTGATTGGATAACTGGACACCTCAAAAATATTATTCATGTGCTTACCGTTTCCTCCCCATCCAGCCAACCTATACGGAGACATGAGGGAGAAGTCTCGGGACCATTTGAGCATTCTTAAAAGCGTTACCTATTCCCACATGCCATTTTCTCCCCATCCAGCCAACCTTTACGGAGACATGAGGGAGGAGGCTCGGGACCATGCGAGAATACGAAATGCGTGCTTCGAGCAGGTCAGTGCGTCTTGCCTTTTTTCTTCCAGGCACCACAGTCATGTGCGCCGGCAGACACACATGATGCCCAACGACGTCCGTCCAATTAAACATACAAACCAAACACCATCCCAACATCTTTAGAGCCTTTTCCTCTGCTTTCTTACCTGTTTCCTCCTGCAGTGCAGGCAACGCAAGTGTACCTGGCAGGCAAGGCAGGCAGCCGCCAGGCCATTATCTGAAGCACCTCTTATCACTGCCTGTCCTCTCTGTTGCCCCCCCCCCCCCCCCCCTCTCTGCAGGCCACGCAAGCTTACTTGGCGGGCAACAAGGCAGCAGCCAAGGAGCTGAGTGCGCGGGGGCAGTGGCACAACGAGCAGATGAAGGCAGCACATGCCAAGGCCAGCGATTCCATTTTCCGCACCCGGTATGGCTCCTGCTGCTGCTGTTGTTGTTATTGCTTCTGCCGTTGGTTGGTTGCTTGCTTGCTTGCTTGCAAAGAGGAGTGTGAGAGGGCATGAGGCAGAAGCACAGCAGCCAAGGAGCTGACTTAGCAACGAGCTGACTGAGTGCGCGGGGGCAGTGGCACAACGAGCAGATGAAGGCAGCTCATGCCAAGGCCAGCGGCGCCATCTTCAGAACCCGGTATTGCTGATGATGCTGCTGTTGGTGGTTGTTCGTGATCTGGGAATTTTAAATATCCATGGGCTGATGGCCTCCATGGGCTGATGGCCTCCATGGGCTGATGGCCTCCATGGGCTGATGGCCTCCATGGGCTGATGGCCTCCATGGGCTGATGGCCTCCATGGGCTGATGTGGTGGAGTCGATATCCATTGAGGCAATCAACCATGTGGAAATATTTCAACCCATGGAGGGCATCCAACCAACCCTATCTCCTTCCTCTCCTGCTGCCCACGTTTTTTCAGCAACCCGGCGTCGGGTTGCCTGAGTGGAAGGGCAGGGGAAGGGGGAGAGGCACGGGTGTTGGACTGGACCTGCATGAGCTGCATGCTTTTCACCTCACATGCCCCTTATCTCCCAAACCCCACCCCCGCCCCCACCCTACCCCCACCCCCAACCCCAACCCCATCCGACCGTCTTTTCAGCAACGCCGCGTCAGGCTACCTGGGTGGAGGGGCAGGAGAAGGAGGAGAGGCGCGGGTGTTGGATCTGCACGGGCTGCATGTGGGGGAGGCGATACCCATGCTGAAGCGGGAGATTGCCGCCATGCGCAGCGCTGCTCGCTCCACCCAGCAGAGACAGCAGGTGGGCGACTGGTGGGGGAGTTGTGGGTCTTTTAGGTCTTGTAAGCGTGTTGGACCCTAAACCCTGGTCTGGCTGTTGGACCTGCACAGGCTGCATGTGGGGGAGGCGATACTGCATCACGCCCCACCACCCGTCTCTCTTGTTTCTTAACCCTAATTTACCCTCAGGTGTATGTATGTGGGCATGGGGCACCACACCACACCAAGGTCAATCCGTGAAACACCTCAAAGCCTATCCCCCTCCACCACCGCTGTCTCTTGATTATTAATGGTACCCCCAATTCGCCCACAGGTGTACGTGTGTGTGGGCACGGGCCACCAAACCAAGGGCCACTCTTGAGGCACCTCAAAGACTAGCCACCCCACTCCAACACCCCTATCTCTTATCTCTCAACCCCCACTCACCCACAGGTGTACGTGTGTGTGGGCACGGGCCACCACACCAAGGGCCGAGCACCCCCGCGTTTGCCTCTGGCAGTGGCACCTTATCGTGCTGTATCTCTCAATCTTCTCCACTAACTGCCCTCTGCAGGTGTACGTGTGTGTGGGCACAGGCCACCACACCAAGGGCCGAGCGCCCCCGCGTTTGCCTCTGGCAGTGGCACCTTATCGTGCTGTATCTCTCAATCTTCTCCACTAACTGCCCTCTGCAGGTGTACGTGTGTGTGGGCACAGGCCACCACACCAAGGGCCGAGCGCCCCCGCGTTTGCCTCTGGCAGTGGCACCTTATCGTGCTGTATCTCTCAATCTTCTCCACTAACTGCCCTCTGCAGGTGTACGTGTGTGTGGGCACAGGCCACCACACCAAGGGCCGAGCGCCCCCGCGTTTGCCTCTGGCAGTGGCACCTTATCGTGCTGTATCTCTCAATCTTCTCCACTAACTGCCCTCTGCAGGTGTACGTGTGTGTGGGCACAGGCCACCACACCAAGGGCCGAGCGCCCCCGCGTTTGCCTCTGGCAGTGGCACCTTATCGTGCTGTATCTCTCAATCTTCTCCACTAACTGCCCTCTGCAGGTGTACGTGTGTGTGGGCACAGGCCACCACACCAGGGGCCGAGCGCCCCCGCGTTTGCCTCTGGCAGTGGCACCTTATCGTGCTGTATCTCTCAATCTTCTCCACTAACTGCCCTCTGCAGGTGTACGTGTGTGTGGGCACAGGCCACCACACCAAGGGCCGAGCGCCCCCGCGTTTGCCTCTGGCAGTGGCACCTTATCGTGCTGTATCTCTCAATCTTCTCCACTAACTGCCCTCTGCAGGTGTACGTGTGTGTGGGCACAGGCCACCACACCAAGGGCCGAGCGCCCCCGCGCCTGCCACTGGCAGTGGAGCGGTATTTGGTGGAGGAGGAGCGGGTTCAGTTCATGGAGACCCAGCCCGGCATGCTGAGAGTGGTGGTGTAACATTGTAATATGTGAGGCAACGTGGTAAAATGTGTGACAGCTCCAGTGTGCAAGAGCAGGCTAAGCAGTGGAGCAGTATTTGGTGGAGGAGGAACGAGTGCAGTTCATGGAAACACAGCCGGGAATGCTGAGAGTGGTGGTTTTAGCGTGTGGTAACAATGTAACTCGTGTGGTAACACGCGTGGTAGCATGGTAACGCAGGTGGCAGCTTCAGCGTGCAAGAGCAGGCTTGGCAGTGGAGCGGTATTTGGTGGAGGAGGAGCGAGTGATGGAAACCCAGCCCGGCATGCTGAGAGTGGTGGTGTGATGGGCTGTGCTGTTGGTGTGGTAACATGGTAACAAGTGAGAGTAATGATGTAACGTGTTGTGTTCGTGTGGTAACATGGTAACACGTGAGACAGCAGGAATGAGTTCAGTTCATGAAGTCCCAGCAGGGTATGGTGAGAGTGATGGTGTAACTGTGTGTTACATACGATAATATGGTGCGGCAGCACTCCCATACAACACCATTGATGGTGGGCTAAATCAACGGCTGGCAACATCATTGGCTGACAGTATTAACGGCTGGCAGCAGCAACGACCAATCACATCAACGGCTGACAGGAGCAATGCAAGATGGTCCCATTCTACACGCCTTTTAGGATGGCATTGGCACCAGCCAATCCAAAGGTGGGCGCCATACGAGTTGTAGTTCACTTAGTTTGTTCTTGCATTTTTGAAGTGTTTAGTGTAACATTCTTTTAGATCGTACTGTGCCTTCGCAGTGTAATGCTTAACAATTTTGTAGGCTGACTGCTAAGATATATTAAAATAACAATTGGTGAGTGTAATCACTTAATACATGAAATTAAGCCTTCCATGCGAATTGGGAAATGTATGGTCAAATGTATGGTCCATAACCTCCACTACAATCGAAATGGCACAAACGAAGCATGAATCACCACGAAGCTTGCGTGTGCGCGGAGTCCAGTCACCGCCTTCCCCGAAGTGCCGCGTGTCGCAATCGAACGCGTCGATTTTGCTGGAAAGGCAATCGGGAGAATCCCAAGAGGCAGAACCGTCAGGTGAAGTCAGCTTGAATTTCCAGTACAGTAGCTCCTGGCGAAATTCAAAGACCATAATCCAGCTCCTTTCGCGAAATCCATTTCTGCGTCCTGTCTGCACGATGTCCGCGCGCGCCTGCTCTCTCCTCCGCCTTCGCCCCACCTCCGCCACCTCCTCCGCCGCGCGCGCCACCATCTCCGCTCCGCAATGCGCGCGCTCCCTTCCCCCCGTACCGCTGCGCTCCCCCGCTAGCCCGCCGAGTGGGCTCGGTAGACGGACCGCAAGCGCAGCTATTTCGGAAAGCTTCGGGAATTCGAGCCGCGTTAGCAGGAGTAGCCTTAGCAGCAACAGGAGTATACTCAGTAGCAGCCGCAACGGTAGCAGCAGAAGCAGCATATTTCGCACTTTCCCCGTTCCACGCGTTTGCCCCTCCCCCCGTCGCAATGCGCAACGGGAGGTTGTATCTCCGTTACTGTGCCGGCCGCTTAGCGCGTCGCTCTCTAGCGGAACCGGGGAACGCGCGGAGCGCGTAGCGGCGGGGGACGTGGTGGGCGGAAAGTACCGCATCGTGCGCCTGCTGGGGGAGGGGTCGAGTGGAAGGCTGTACGAGGCGCAAGTGGTGGCGGAAGGGGAGTCGGCGGAAGGGGGAGAGGGGGAACGCGTTGCTGTGAAATGCATCTCGTTGCGGTCTGCTACGAGATGGAAGGTGGGTCGCAAGTGGGATGGACGGTTGAGATGATGGAAGGTGGGTAGCGAGTGGGATTGAACGGTTGAGATGATGGAAGGTGGCAATTGGACATGGACGGTTAAGATGGAAGTGGGTCGTTTGTGGGAATGGACGGTTGATTGAGGTGATGGAGATTGGCTTGCAACTAAATAGACGGTTGCGATGGTGGCTAATTTCCCTAGTTTCCCCTCCAGACTTATTAAGGGTGGTTTCTGCTTCTACCCGTGTTCTTCTGTTGATATTATTTGTTTCTCAGGATTTGGATCTGTTTGAGAGGGAGGCTAGAGTTCTCCGCAGCCTCAACCATCCCGGGATCCCACAGTACATTGATTATTTCGAGGTAAGTTAGTTAGTTAGAACGTAGGAACGTACAATGTGCTGTCATCTCAAGAGTTTCTTGCCTTCGTTATTGTGACAAATGCACTGTCACAACCAGGAGGACACTGCCACAGACCGGGCGTTCTATCTCCCCACACCCCTCGCACTCGCTTCGACCCACCCCTTGTTATTATCACATATTTTCACTGTCACACCCAGGAGGACACTGCCACGGACCGCGCCTTCTATCTCGTGCAGCGGCTCGCGCAGGGACAGTAACTGGCAAGCAGCCTTTGCTCCCCTTCCCGTCTCTCTCCACGGCCCCACCTTTTCACATCCTCACATCCCCACATCCCAATCAGGAGGACACTGCAACAGGCCGCGCCTTCTATCTCGTGCAGCGGCTTGCGCAGGGACAGTAACTGGCAAGCAGCCTTTGCTCCCCTTCCCGCAATATCCATCTCTCCACATACCCACTTTATCACTTCCCCACTCCCTCACTCCCCCACATTCCCACCAACCAACCAGGAGGACACTGCAACGGTCCGTGCCTTCTATCTCGTGCAGCGCTTAGCGCAGGGGTCGCCACTTGTTGGCAGGCTGCCTTTGATCCTGTTACATTCTCTCTCCACGTCCCCATCTCCACATCCCAACCAGGAGGACACTGCAACGGTCCGTGCCTTCTATCTCGTGCAGCGCTTAGCGCAGGGGTCGCCACTTGTTGGCAGGCTGCCTTTGATCCTGTTACATTCTCTCTCCACGTCCCCATCTCCACATCCCAACCAGGAGGACACTGCAACGGTCCGTGCCTTCTATCTCGTGCAGCGCTTAGCGCAGGGGTCGCCACTTGTTGGCAGGCTGCCTTTGATCCTGTTACATTCTCTCTCCACGTCCCCATCTCCACATCCCAACCAGGAGGACACTGCAACGGTCCGTGCCTTCTATCTCGTGCAGCGCTTAGCGCAGGGGTCGCCACTTGTTGGCAGGCTGCCTTTGATCCTGTTACATTCTCTCTCCACGTCCCCATCTCCACATCCCAACCAGGAGGACACTGCAACGGTCCGTGCCTTCTATCTCGTGCAGCGCTTAGCGCAGGGGTCGCCACTTGTTGGCAGGCTGCCTTTGATCCTGTTACATTCTCTCTCCACGTCCCCATCTCCACATCCCAACCAGGAGGACACTGCAACGGTCCGTGCCTTCTATCTCATGCAGCGCTTAGCGCACGGGCAGTCGCTAGCAGCTTCCTATACCCCCTCCCTCTCCTCCTCTCCCCCTGTTCCCTCACATCTCTCCACCACCCAACCAGGAGGACACTGCAACGGATCGGGCCTTCTATCTCGTGCAGCGCTTGGCGCACGGGCAGTCGCTGGCAGCGCTGGTGGCGGGCGGGTGGAGGGGAACCGAGGAGGAGGTGGTGCGGATTGGCATAAAGGTGAGAGTGGAGTGGTGCATTGTGAGGGAAGAGGCTGGCTCGCCGTTGAGGTGAGTGTGGGCCCACAATTGTGCCTAGAGGCGACTTTTGAATCGACTCAAAAGTCAACTGTGGGCCCACAATTGTGCCTAGAGGCACGGGAGTGAGAGCTGAGCTTGGAGAGGAGCCAAAATGGCACACGGGCAGTCCCTGGCAGCTTCAGTGGCGGGCGGGTGGAGGGGAACGGAGGAGGAGGTGGTGCGGATTGGCATAAAGGTGAGAGTGGGGGCATCGAGATGAGCATGGTGGTGGTACATTTGGAGTAAAGAAGGTCGTGAGGGTTGGAGTTGAGGGGAGCTCACAGCAAAGACTCAAGGAAAAGACCGAGGAGGGCAAGTCTTACCTGCCTTAGTGCAAGGGATCGTTGGCATTGATTCATGTCGTTTTTTGTGCATGACTCTTTATTGAGTTCCTCGCTAGCACTTCAATGCCAACCTTGCTCTAATTTATATTTGCATGACATGCACGGTCCCCATCCATCCACCCTGTGCCATGCACCATGCATGATGCATCATGCACCATCCACCCTGTACCATGCACCATCACCAGGTCTTGGAAGTTCTGTCTTATTTGGAGTCGCTCCGGCCTCCCGTGATGCATAGAGACATCAAGGTAAATGCTGCTCTTTATTGTGCATTTTCGTTTGTTGAATTTTTTCGGCGTTTTCCATTTTACTTCCTTTTATGTGGTTTTCAAATTCGGAACAAAATCTTTCTTGATGAGAACCAAGTTTCGGCATTTTATGGCAAACCGTTTGTCCAAATACATCACTCCTTCCTTTGCCGTGTGCTGCTTTCTTGAGCTGTATAATACCGCCCTTAATCCCTCGTTGCACTCTGTTCTCGTTCTTCTTTCATGACCCTTGAAATTAATTTCCATGTTGCAGCCCGACAATATAATTCTGGACCAATCACGCGGCACGGTTCAGGTGGTTGACTTTGGGGCGGTGCAGGAGGCATCTGCATCGGCAAGGAGTGATGCTCCTATCGGCAGCACAGTTGTTGGTACGGTGCGTTGGGACTGTAACGAGTTGAGACTGTAATGAGTACGGTGTAGGAAGCATCTGCGTCAGCACGGAGTGATGCTCCTCTCGGCAGCACAATTGTTGGTACGGTGCGTGGAGACTAAAGTGTACTGTGACTATTGCGAGTTGAGATTGTAGTGAATACCGAGCAGGAGGCATCTGGATCGGCAAGGAGTGATGCTTCTATTGACAGCACAGTCGTTGGTACGGTGCATTTGTGACTATAGTGAGTAGTGAATATACATGTTCCTCCTTCCTTACTTTATTACCCGTTCCCCACCACCACCAGTACGGCTACATGGCACCGGAGCAGTTTCAGAACCGGGCCACCTCACAGTCGGATCTCTACTCACACCGATACATCCAGTAACCTCACTTCCCTCCCATACCTGATGTCATGCCCCTCTCTCTTCTCC